CTTTCTAATATCGTATTAGAGCAAGCACTATTTCTTTCGCGAATGTGCGTCCACCTCTCATTAGTCACCACGTGCCGTGGTCAAAATTCAATGTGTCGCTCGTAATCCGACGTGCACGTAAGAGGAGGTGCTGAAGTATTATCCCACGCCACTTGACGACGAATCCTAAATACTCTTTGTAATTACGTGGTCTCCCTCTATATATCAGTTTAATCTTTTAGAACAGTTGGTAGTGGTTCCGCAAAAAGGTGCCAAACTTCGCCTCGCAATGCTTGCAACAATAAATCCTAACTGCAAACTTCGCCTTGATGAGCTTTTGTTTTTTATTTTGGTTTGTTCTCTGTGTGTGTGTGTGTTTTTTTTTTTTTTTTTTAATTCCTTGTCCTTCTCCATTGGAATATGCAGGTTATGATGGATCCAGTGGGTATGAGTTGAACCTACTATGTGATTGTCATCAGCAAGTCAACATTAATGAAGCAAGTGTGGAACTGTACATAGGCACCTGCATTATTTTGGTGAGGCAACATTTATTTTATTTTTTCTAGGATATGGTTTTGCAAGCATTCCAAGATGTTTTAGTCGTTATTCTGTTGGGAACGAAGTAGCGATCCCACTGGATTAGCTTCTGCGTCTGTTTCACGAGCATTACTCGATGGAGTAGGAAGTCAATTTAGAAAGATTTCTTAGGTTCAAGCACGCGGAAGTTCCATCCTGTCAAGTCACACAACATATTCCACTCTCGTCAGTTTGGCAGTGCCACACGGAGAATGCTCGTGACTAGTACTATGATGAATGTGCACATTGTCACCGTTGATCATGATTAGGTTGATATGAAAACCAGGGGTTTGAAGAGAGCCAGAAATGAACCATTTTTTTGTTTAATTTTTTACTGTCAATAGAGATCTGCAAACAAACTTTTATCCAGAAATGACGAGAAGGACGCAATTATGTTGCTCCAAAGTTATGCTCGCGTGTTAGGGACTGTTCTTTCCATGTAATAATTTTTCCAACTTGTTTTAGTTGTCAAATGTTCATCTCAGTCGATGTGTATTTTGGACTGACTCGAAGCCGTCTATTCTGAGATGCAGTTTCTGATGGCCAATTCATTAAGAAGACTTGTTCTCTGGGATTCCTCTGAGGATTACCCTTACCCTTGCCCTGCCCTGCTGCCATTTGTTCTCTTGACTGAGATTTTTCCAAAATGGCGGTAGCTGTCGATCAGCATCGTGGATTTAGGCCACCGAGCCGACCTCAGAGATGCAAACTACAGTCCTTCACTCATCTCGACTTCACCGTAATTGATCTCGGCCAAACCCATCTGGCCCGTTCCTCGGACCCAGCATTTGATATTGCTAATTTCCACCGATGCTTCTCCACCCCTTGCCTGTCCTTGACCACCCAAGTGGAAGAAGACTTTGATAGGAATCCGCGAATTGAGATTCTTGGTGGCTGCAGGGCCTTCAGAGCTCGCGCTCTAGTTGTAGAGGTTGCCATAGCAATGGCTACTGGTGTCAATCCTGTGCCAGTGTCGAGTGGACTCGGTGGAGCATACTACATGCGTGGCAGAGATGGGCATGACATTGCCGTGGCAAAGCCTGTTGACGAAGAACCTCTAGCTTTCAACAATCCTAAAGGCTTCAGGGGTCTGATGCTAGGCCAACCTGGCATGAAACGATCCGTATGTGTTGGTGAAAGCGGTGTTCGAGAACTGGCTGCATACATTCTCGACCATGGCGGATTTTCCGGTGTTCCTCCAACTGCTTTGGTGAAGATCTCTCACGTTTTAAATGAAAATGATGCGTCGCCAACATCATCAGCACCTTACAAGATCGCATCGCTGCAACGCTTTGTGGATCATGATTTCGATGCTGGAGAATTGGGTCCCTCTAGCTTCTCGGTAGCATCGGTTCATAGGATTGGGATCTTGGACTTGAGAATGCTAAATCTTGACAGGCACGCAGGAAACATTCTGGTTAAGAAACATCTAAATGAAATTACTGCCGCTGGGTCACTGGAACTTGTGCCGATAGATCATGGCCTTTGCCTACCTGAGTTCCTTGAGGATCCTTATTTTGAATGGCTGCACTGGCCTCAAGCCTCTGTTCCTTTTTCCGATTTAGAAGGAGAATACATATCCGACTTAGACCCCTTTAAGGATGCTGAGCTATTGAGGACCGAGGTTCCTTCTCTGAAGGAGTCCTCTGTCCGGGTTCTCATCCTATGCACCATCTTTCTAAAACACACTGCGGCTGCTGGCTTCTGTCTTGCAGATATAGGCGAGATGATGACTCGCCAGTTTTCTTGTGGGCAGGAGAATCTCAGTTTATTGGAGGAGCTGTGCGTTCAATCCAAGGCTAGCATGCTGATGACTTCGGGCGATGAAGAGCCTGATGACGAGACCAACGAAGAAAACGACCTCGAAGTTACTCAGTTCGACATGGAAAACGGAGATGACATGGAGGAGGACTCGGACCTCCCTGAGACGGCTAGGCCGCATAAAGTTCCCAGGTTTTTATCCGTCAAGTCAATGTCCGGGCTGCCTGACGTTATTATCTCCACAAGGGTTGGAAAACGACCCCCTGATCTGTGAATACGAGTCATATGCGATAGAAGACGACGAGGGTGAAAATCGTGACGCTGCCATCAATGGTCACAAGATGGGGGTTTTCAACCGGAGCATGAGTTTTGCAGTGCAACAACATGTCAATGAGGGCGAGGGGATCTCTTTCGGAGACATGAGCGAAGACGAGTGGGTTCTGTTCCTCGAAATCTTCGAGAAGCTCTTGCCCGCGGTCATCGAGAACGCTAGATGTAACGGCTTGAAGCAGAGGTTGGGAACTTCTTGCGACTTCTGAGGATTCTCCAAAGCAATAGACGATCAAAGATCAGCAAAAGGATAAAAAGAAACCGGACACGATCGCTTGTAATTACTGTGGATTAATTTTCCTTTCATGTTTCCCAAATGACATGCTAGTGTAGAATTGTAGATAATGACCGTTCGGGCCGACGCGAGAGGAAAAGTGATCGGCAAGTTGCCATCCTTTCCTTTTTCGACCGTCGCCTGTTTTTCTCCTCCGTTTGTACTATCACCATGCAAATGTATCAGTGTGTACGTATTGTGAATAAGCTCATTGCCCCATTTATACCAACATGTGTTTGTTCACTCTGATATGCACAATCAAATTCGAGGGTCTGGTTGTCTGGAACATTACAGTAAAGCTACTCCAGAAGTCTTTTTCAAATTGGTGCTGGTGCATCTCTAGTCCTGTGACGACTTGAGAATTGTAATCATGCCAGTAGCTGATGTACATAGAATGTTTTTGTTTCTCGGGATAACGCTAGAAATGGTTTCTGAATTTTGGCCAAATATGTAATGTAATCCACGAATTTTAAATTTATTCAATATGATCTCTAAACTTTATCCAAATATGCAATATTGTCTCCGAACTTTTAATATGTTCAATGTGATCATTAAACTTTTGGAACATATTCAGTTTAGCCCCTAAACTATATGAAAATATTCAATGTTATCATTCTATTAATTCAAGATCAGAGATAATATTGAATATTTTGATATGATCCAATGATTGAATTGTACATGCCCCATTTTGAACAAATTAAAAATCGAGAGATTATATTACACATTGAGCTAAAGTTCAGGAACACATTGAACAAATCAAACTCGTGTCATTTTATTTTATTTCTTTAATGAAGTAACGAGGGAATTTTGGTCTCACGAATAAAGTATTTAGGGCCTGTTTTTAATATGTTCAATGTGATCATTAAACTTTTGGAACATATTCAGTTTAGCCCCTAAACTATATGAAAATATTCAATGTTATCATTCTATTAATTCAAGATTAGAGATAATATTGAATATTTTGATATGATCCAATGATTGAATTGTACATGCCCCATTTTGAACAAATTAAAAATTGAGAGATTTATTACACATGAGCTAAAGTTCGAACACATAACAAATCAAACTTGTGTCATTTTATTTTATTTCTTTAATGAGAACAAATTTGGTCTCACAATAAAGTATTTGGGCCTTTGGCTGAATGCACCTCATGAGGTGCCTTGGGCAAAAACTTGCATTTTTGGAATGCAGAGATGCACTATTCATCGTCCAAGGAACCACCGGAGGCCGCCTAAGGGAATGCACCTCATGAGGTGCCTTGGGAAATCGGAATGCACGACACTATTCATCGTGCCCAAGGAACCACACCGCCGCCTAGGGTCCGACGCCGCGCCGGGGTCGGCGACCATGCCGCCTGGGTCGCTGACGAGCGCGCGGGCGCTCGGTCGCGCGACCTAGATTTGGGTCGCGACCCGAGCGCCGCCTCGACACGGCAACCCAAAGGCGGCGGTTGCCGGAGTCGGGTGACCCCCAGGCGGCGGTCGCCGGAGGTTGGGTCGTCGCTGGAGGTCGGCCGATCCACAGGCGGCGGTTGCCCGACCCCTCAGGCGACGCTCGGGTAGCGACCCAGATCTGGGTCGCGCGACCCGAGCACCGTCTGAGGTCGGGCTACCCTAGGCGGCGGTCGCCGGAGGTCGGCCGACCCTCAGGCGGCGGTCGCCGGGGTCGCACGACCCAGGCGGCCTCGCCTGAGGTCGCACGATCTCAGGCAAGGCTGGCCGGCGGTGGTTGGTTCAGGCCAATTTTTTTTTTTAAATATTAGCAAAAGTCATTTACAAAATTAAGTTTTTACCAAATGATATTTAGCTCAAAGTTGCTTTCAAATGTGATTTTAAAATACATATTATCAAACACTACTTACATTTCGAAAAATCCTTTTAGCTCAAAGATATTTGTATTTTACCAAATGCAATCCCTCGAAGCCGAAGCAAACATGCCATAATTTTCTCTCTTCTCTTAAACGGAAGAGAGAATTTTCGTCTTTATCACACTGACAAGTCACGAGCTTTCTGTTTTAGCAAAAAAAAAAAGTCACGAGCTTTCTGTTTTATATTGAATTAGGTAGCAAAGCACGGTCAAAAGTCACGACTTTTTCTCCTCTTCTTCTCCTTCTGCTCTTCATCCCTCTCTCTGAAATCTCTGCAACGCGCCGACCACAATGACGATCGGCATCGTCGACCACGGGCTCCCCGACGACACTCACAACCTCTACGACGTCTCCTTCTACGGCCTCAGCGTCCGCACCCTGCTCACCCACTCCCCTCCCATCGCCTCGTCCTGGCTCGCGTCCCGCGGCTCCCAGCCCCTCCTCGTCGGCTTCGACGTGGAGTGGCGACCCAACTTCAGCCGCAACGTCGACAACCCCGTGGCCATCCTCCAGCTCTCCGTGGGCCTCGACTGTCTCATCTTCCAGCTCCTCCACGCCCCGGAGATCCCCCAGCTCCTTGCCGACTTCCTCCGCGACCCCCGTCACGTCTTCGTCGGGGTCGGCATCGACGAGGACGTCGAGAAGCTGCTCTGTGACTACGGCCTCGGCGTGGCCAACGCGGTGGACCTGAGGCCACTGGCCGCGACGGAGCTGGGTCGGGAAGAGCTGAGAAGGGCCGGGCTGAAGACGCTGGCGAAGGAGGTCCTGGGGAGGGAGATCCAGAAGCCGAAGCGGGTCTCGACGAGCCGGTGGGACTACCAGTTCCTGAGCAGCTTGCAGGTCCAGTACGCGTGCCTGGACGCTTTCGTGTCGCTCCAGATCGGAGAGGCTCTGAATGCCGGTGGTGCTCGCCCATGAGGCCTTTGCTCGTGGATGAAGGAAGGTAAATTTTGGTATTTGGGTGGAGGCTCTTGGTAGGTTTTTCGGGTTTTTATATTTGCTTCTTCTTGTGCGAGAATTTGACTCCTGAAATCTCCGACTCCGACCGTAAAAAGGATTGACTGCAATTTGTGGAGATTCATAACTTTCTCTTTGATGTTATACTGACTGATGGTTTGACATGGTTTGATGGTTAATTGCATCATTTTCAAGCAGGTTGGGATGTTGTATATCTGTTCTGCTTGTCATAGTGCTGTTCATGATCTGGGTTTTGGATACGATCCATAAACATGGCTAGTAAAAATGGGGATTTGATTGTATTCTTTACATGAACTGAACAAGTATGCAAGGAGTTTAAATGTATAGATGGCTATTTATGTCAAAAACGCCAGACTAATGAAAGCATCTTTGCTGGAGGCTCTCTCTGAATATGTCGCCTTGTCGGAAATCATGGATGCGATGCCCTTGACCTTGACCGGCTTTAGAAAGATTTCTCCTGCTTTTTAGTTAGGATTTGAGTTCGTTCCGAGATTTAGATATTTCCCATTTAGGTATTTGTTTCTTGCATTGGCACATTACATCTGGTGGGATTTATGAACTCGCAGCCGTCATTTTTAGGACTGTAGAAAACGTGCATAATTAAGGTCCGGAAGCACGTAAAGTTTTTGCTCACTCCATCTCTCTCTGGTTAAAAATCTCTGCTTTTCATCTTATGTTGAGCGGGCAAGGGAAACACGAGACTAGTGCTTATTATGTGGACAGTGGAGCTCATGTATCATCCTGTTTCCTTGTGGCCTGGAATAGGCAAAACTGGATTTCATTATTTAAACTACTGCTGTTAAATGTGAGCCAAACGGTGCAAGGATGAGATTTAGCTGATGATTAATGTGCAGTACTTCTTTTTCCTTGTACTTACATGCATAGGCATGGGTGGCAATGAAAAGGAATGGATAGAGTTGACTGAGACCTAGCATCTTTCTGCTTCAATTTTGAGTATTGAATGATGATTAATGACAGATTAGTTGGTTTCAAATCCGGCCTGCAATGTGTTCGTTTTGGTATGGATCTTCTCTCTTGTCGGTGCATTAGTTTCATTGCCATCTAGCTTTCTTCGTTGCAATCGTTACTATAAAACTGAATTAATTTTGTTAGCTGTACTTTGGCAAAAGAAAAAGGAGAGATCCTGATAGCATAATCCTCACTAGTGAGACTTCCGTTTTGTGAATCACTACTCTCATCTTCAATGTAAGCTTCTATATTTCCTCAAAAGCTAAGTGTGTGTTTGTGATAACGGTCTTTACTGCGATTGAATGCATTGAAACGAAGATGGGGATTGAGGAATGTGTATGAGCCATGTATAATGTGAAAGTTTGCTTGCAGCTCGGGACTGATCAAACATATGTTAGCATGTGTAATTAATTTTGTGCATGGTTTCCAAACCAATTACTAGTCAGCTGTAAAATGGATGTTAGCATAAGTTGACATGTATTTGAAACTTGTGGGATGAATTCATTGGAGGAGTATCGTTTCGTGGCTATGCTCATTCACGTTCCACATTTGAAGACATTGAGATTTGGCAGATTTGATGCATTAAATCGCATTTTTCGCAACAATTGTACGTGAACATACGCTGCACTATGAAACAAATGTGCCGTCCATATTTTTGGTTGTGTAAAACACTGACCGGGGATTTCGATGCACGTGAAGTTGGTGTCTGTTGCGTATATATGACTGCTAGGTTCTATATTTTTCCATCTTCACTCGTCAAGGTGAGAGAAGAAGAGACTATGCATATATACAAGCAGATTCCCATTTACTAGCTGTGTTTATGCAGCATCCCAACCTGCATGTCGCACACGCACGCGACTCTTGCCTTGTTAGAATGGGTTCTGGAGTTCATCCGACACGGGTTTTGCTCTCTCTGTGTGACCCGCCTTGGATCTTGATCCTTTGCAATATCAAGGCTTTGTACAGGAGATCACAAGCATACTTGAAAAGTTCTGATTTAGAAGAGGAGGAGGCGAGGGTGATATTAACGAAGCGTTAATTCTCCAATAAGATGATAGGTATGTGAATTTTCGCCATGTGACTAGGGATGAGTATGGTCCGGGTTGGGTCGATCCAGTATCTAACCTAGGGACCATCCTGCACAGTGTTGGTTCTCAACTAGGGACGGGTTGGGTCGGTCCAGTATCTAACCTAGGGACCATCCCGCACAGTGTTGGTTCTCAACTAGGGATCGACCCTATGGGTTCGGTCCAATTTTAGGATCAATCCGGGACCAACCAAATTTTTTTTCTTTCGTTTTTTGTATTCCTTGAAAGAACAAACAAACTGTTTGAAATTATATATACATCTACAATGCGATATCGAGCAACCAAACTGTGAACACCGTTACAAATCAAACAGAAATATAAGATAAGGCAACCACAGAAACTCTACTCGCCAAAAAGAAAGAGATTTTTTTAATGAGCATAAAGCCCTCTGATCAAGCATAAAACGGGGAAGCATAAATAAGCAGCATAAATCAGGAAATCACATGAACTTGAAGTTCAAAGATGAAGTACAAACTGAGAAGCAAAAGTGGAAAAATAAATACCCAACACAAGTTGATAACTCACGCGAGCTTGAAGCTCTCAAATCAAACACAGACCGAGAACTTACTAGCTGAGTTGCGTTCGTGGGGCGAGGGAAGAGAGGTGAGTGAGCTACATTTGTGAGGCGGGCCAAGAGAGGTGAGCGATTCACCAGCTAAGCTACTGAGTTGTGTTCGTGAGGCGAGTGAGGAGAGGCGAGAGATCTAGCGAAGAGAGGCGAGTGAACTCAGCTCGGCGAAGAGAGGCACCATTTGACCAAAAAAAAGAGAGGCAATAGGGTTTTTAACTTCTCTCTCTATATATATACTGGGTTGGTTTGGGTTGGACCAACCTTAAAGTTTTAGGATCAAGAACCAACCCATACAGTCCAGGTTTTGGGGGTCCTAGAACCAAGAACCGGCCCAGTCCCCCTGGAAACCGGACCAAGACTGGCTGGGTTAGACCGGTCCAGGGTTGGTCCAAGGTTGGTCCAGGGTCAACACCCCCACATGTGACTCTTCATGATACGAAGGCGACCAGATTGGATTATTTTCTTCATGCAGTCAGAACTAAAAACTCATGTTTTGCTTGATCGAACTGTTGCAGAGATGGGAAACTTGTGTTCAAGGAGCATTAAAGGAGAAGCTAAAGGAATACAAGGTTCATCAGGCCGAGATATCTAGTACAATCCTCTCAAGGACGGCCTAAAACAGAACAAAAGCATTTACCAAGCATCGAACTGCAGATATTCCCATTACAGCTGTTCTTCTTTGTACAATTTAGACTCCATTGTGTAGCCTGTGAAGTGCACTCTAGGGACAATGGACGGATTCTGTGTTTCTTCCAAGCAGTTTGCTTCCTTTCCAGAGTCGGTGAGATAGCTCCACGACGTCAACTGGCCGATGGTGCTGAATTTTTCAGTTTAATAGACGGGCTTCCTCTCTACGAATCAAATGGTTCTTCGCAAGTTTGCAAGATGGAGAGAGTCTGAAGGTCTCAATGTAAAATAGCGACAAGAAGCGGGTGAATGGTGTTGGATCTTTCCGCTCTTTGCCAATTGGCTAATAATCAACGAAACGGGTCAAGCTCTAGAGATTTTTTAAAGATTACAAAGGCTCAGAAAGGTCTTGATGATTCGCTGCAAGATACAATCTTCTGCAAAGAACATCTGATATAAATGTTTGACACCCAGTTTTGTGACCGTGGAAAAACTTCGTGGATGCGCATTGCAATGCAACTAGCGTGTATTTGTACACGTGAACGTCTTCTAATAAAAGATTTGTATATCATATTTTAAACTATGGCTTAATGAAATTTTACAATAATCACATGAAAGTAATTTCCACGTACAGAAAGGATGGGGATGACAAGGGATTAGTGGATGAGTATGAAGTATGCAAACTTCTGTGCAAATATTTGTACTTCTTCAGTTTACGCAATGTCCATGCTCATCACATTTTTTTACTATACTTAATGACGTGCATTTTAGGAAGAAGCGGTTACCCAGAAATGCAGGAACTGCTTCTTATCATATATAGAATTGATTGATTGAGAAAATTGGTTCCTTGGCTCACTCTAGTATCTCCGTTATGAAAAGCACGTTACGTTCGACCGTTGAAAACAGAAACATTGATCTTATCCCGCATAAATTTCTATTTCATTTAATCAAGGAGATTATGCAAAGGCCGTTATTGGCGTTATTTTGTTAGTTATACTTGAGTATGAATTAGAATATTATGGTTAACTGCACACGTGTCATTTTAGTTGGCGAGATGCCGAGATTAATTAGCATATTCATCACATCTAATCAATCCACATTAATTACTTAGACAATGCGAAACATATGTTTATACTAGACAAGTAGCTTGACATCGACGACACCAATGCGATACGAAAAGCATTTCTCCGGTCATGATCAGAACCTAAGGGACAAGTCCAACCCTCCATTTTCAAGTCCCTGAGTGCCGAAGGAGCTTCCATTGGCAAAAACATTGGCAATTGGTGGTCTCCGTCCCGTGCTCTGAGGTGGAACGCTAGTACAGAAGTTTGGGTCGCCATTATAGTTCATAGGTTGTTGATATACGATTCCATTTAGCTGATTCACCATGGCAGGTTGGTGCCACGCCGAGGCTCGAGGGTTCGTTGTTGTTGTTGTTGTTGTCGGCTTCAACATCCCACTGTAGATAAGTCCAACATCATCAACAAGTGCAGGCCAAGTACGAGGCCCATAGGCAACGGGGCGTCCCGAGACACGAAGTGCCTGCATGCCAAAATAATATAGGTTAAAATTAGTATTCACCTGAGAAAAGACATTAGCAATCCGATTCATCACATGCGCCTGCCTTTTTGTGGCATGCTCACGCCTGTGGCTTTGTGTTGGCCTCCCTAACGACTGTGTTAGAAAGTCCAATTCAAAAGATTAAGCTGTTAAATGAAAACGTTATTTAATATTTCAATATTCTAATACTTTCCTTTGCAAGTAGATTGGATGTTGGTCTAAGCCTAAAGCACATAAATATTTAATTGGAGAAGCATATAAGGGGTTTAGAAAAATTTGAACTTAAAACCTCTTGCTCTGATACTATTTGTTAAGGGCACATAATAAATGCCCAATACATTTACATAGGTATATCGCCAAGAGAGAGCCTAAATCCGAGAACGTCAATATATCCAGTTTGACTCACCTTTACTAAAAAACCTAAGCCAATAAATTATGGAGCAACTAAGATATTATTTATTAACTGCTCCAAACCCACCAATTCTTCGATGTGTGGCCTTTTCCTAACACAACTCACATTGCAACTCAACAATTTCTCCCTCATGTGTGACTTTTTATACTAACATATCTCAACTTGAATCTCCAATGCGACTTCTCATCCCTAGTCTCTTTCTCCAAACCGAACTATGAGACTGCCATCAAGACTGCGTTGCTACACCACAATGCCTACCTTCATCCTGATCTCTTTCGCCAAATTGAGCCATGAATAATGCCCGAAAATCGCATCGGTCATGAGATTTAATCATTGAGATATTCACCAAACACTTGAACAAATTGGGGGCCCACCAATTTATCATCGGTTCTGATATCAAGTTCAGAATAATAATGTGGATGAGAAGTCTGGAATTTGTGTATATTTTAATATATGTTGAATAAAAATACATGAACCTATTTATAGACTTTATTAGGTAATGATTTTAGATAACATATCAATCAAAATATTCAATGGGAGATATATGTGCAGTCTTGAGAGATGTAGAGAATCAACATAATTATTTAATTATCTTTCATATAGAAAATTATCTTGGAGAAATCTCTAATTCTCTCTAACATCCTCCCACAAACTCAAAGTGTCTAAGTTAGCTTGAGTTCAAAATCAAGTCAAACAATTTCATGAAAGCTTGTTTCTCCAAATCAACACTTACTAGCGTCGGGCTTGGTGGATCCGTAACGAGGCAACATGTGGTGACGCGTGAGGTAGCGTTTGGCAGCTGTTCGAGGCAAAACTTCAGGCTATGGCTTGTCGGAGGGCGGCAAGTCTAGTGGTGGTGTTGGCTTCTCGAAATGACCAGCGAAAAAAAGTTGAGAATCGGAGGGGAACAATAAGTGGCCTATACGATGCGGTTGGCTTGTGAAACAATAACCGAGCGATGTGGCCGATATCGTGACTTACATGGCTGGCTTGTAATTACTAAGCGACACGGCCTATGCAACTAGTGTCAAAAGAAAGCCACCTCCATGAAAAAGGCTTGATTGGGCGACGCGATCGGTGTAGTTGGGCTCGAAACACGACTATTGTGGAGTGGACTCGACTAAGTGCTTCTCGGTGAGACTTGTGCGCACGGGGTGAACATTGTTGAGCGGTAGGGATGGATTTATTTGGGTGTGCATTGGGTGCACCGGGTGCACACTCTGCACACTAAATCCGGGTAGCGAGGGTATTGTTGAAATTTTGTTTCGACTTTCATGTTTTTCGAGAGAATTCAGTGGATTGATCGCGAGTGCAGATCCATGGTGGTCATCATTAGAGAGCATCGCTTCAAGTGCTAAGGATACGATATTCTCACGGCCTTCCCCTCCGCATGTCCGGAGAGAAGAGTCTCTGGGGATTTCTCTTCTGATAGTGGTTGTACTTATTCCATGGCATGGTTATAAATGCTTGATGTGCTTGAATGAGAAGCAAGAATGGATTATATGTAGTGTGTAGATGTTGCCATGACCGGAAGGATATCCAACTTGTTTTTGATATGACATACACTTGGATGGCAATCTTGCAATTGGAGTTTTAATATGATGCGGATTTGACTTCAGTATTGGCAACAAAAATCTTGTGGGTCCAACTTAACCATTTGAAAAGGGGAAAATGACACAAATAGTTTATGAACTTTGATTTAAAGTGCAATATGGCTCCTAAACTTTTAATTTGTTCAATGTAGTTTCTGAACTTTAACTTAATGTTCAATGTAGTTCTTGAACTTTTAATTTGCTCAATGTCGTCCATGAACTTTTGGTATATATTCAATTTAGTCCCTAAACTACATTAAACATTAGTACTAAATTTTACGCTATTTGCACAACATGTAGGCCTTTGAAGACAGAAATGTCGATGTTTTTCCGGGTAAAAATCTAATCAAGTTGATCATCAGATTCCGAGAAAGCCATTATTAGCGTTATTTTGTTAGTTATAGTTGAGTATGCATTAGATTTGTATGGTTAACTGCACTTTTGTGTCATTTAAGCAGACAAGATCCCAAGATTAATTACGATATCCACCGCATTTAATTCATTCACAAAAATTACTTGGACAACGCGAAACAGATGTTTTACAATATATCCTAGAGAATTTTAGCTTATTAGTAAAACCCGAACTTCAATGGAGCATATTACATTGATGACACCTCTTTTTACAATATATGAAAAGCAGTTCTCTGGTCATGATCAGAGCCGAAGTGACAAGTCCAGCCCCTCGTTTTCGAGTCCCTGAGTGCTCCTCAAGGAACTGCCGTTGGCAAGAACATCGCCAAGTGGTGGTCTCGGTCCGGTGCTCTGAGGAGAAACCCTAGTGCCAAAGTTAGGGTCACCATTAATAGGTTGATATACCATTTCGTTTAGCTGATTCGCCATGGCAGGTCGGTGCCATGCCATGGCTTGGGTGTTCGTTATTGTTATCGGCTTCAGCATCCCCCCGTAGGCAGGTCCGATAACATCAGCAGGTGCACCCCAAGTAAGAGGTCCATAGGCAACCGGGTGGCCCGGGACAGGAATTGCCTGCAGGACAAAATAATACGGGTCAAAATCAGGGTTCACCTGAGAAAAGGCATTAGCGATTCGATCCATCTCTTGCGCCCGCTTTTTTGCGGCATGCTCACGCCTGTGGGCTTTCTGGTGGCCCCCCAACGACTGCACGGTGTCAAACTCCGCATCGCAGTACTTGCAACCGTAAGCCCGGGTTGCAATGGTATTGTTGAAATTTCGCTTCGGCTTTTCGGATTTCTTTCGAGGAGGTTTTTCGAGAGAATTTGATAAATTGATCACGGGTGCAGATCCACGATGATCATCATTAGAGAGCTTCGCTTCAAGTACTAAAGGATTCGATATTGGTGCCGCCTTGCCCTTCGCATCTCCAGGGAGAAGAGCCTCTGGGGATTTCTCTTTTGAGAGTGGCTGCACTTGTTCCATCGCCAAGTTATGAATGTCTCATGTGCTTGCACGAGAACAAAGAATGGAGTATATGTAGTGCGATGATGTGGCTATGTATGGAAGGATATCCAACTTGTTCTTGATATTACATTCACTAAGTTGGTAATCTTGTAATTGTGTTTTAATAGGACGTGCTTTGACATCAGTATGGGCAACTAAATCTTGTGAGTCCAACTTAATTATCAGAATGGAAGTGACAAATCGCAAGCTTATAAAAGTGCTCTCCATATAGATCAACAGGGGTGAGATATCCATGGAAGATCTAGTCATAAATAGAGCACCTAGACGTCGGAATGGCTATGACATTAATGTACCAATTGGAGAACAAATCCAATCACTGAAAGTCCAAAATGATTAAGTCTTAAGGAGTCCTCTAAAATTGTTATGAATGTTGAAAATTAAACGCAACAAGCCCGAGCGAATCGCATTAATCCGAATTGTTGGCCATCACCTCTACGCGCACGTATCGGATTGTTCTATAGTGGGGAAAGGTACCAAAAAAAGTGCTAAACGTATTGCATTGGTACCAATTTAGTCCTAAACCTTTCAATTAGACTAATTTAGTCATAAACCTTTTTTACTTTGGTATCAATTCAGTCCATTCGGCCAATTTAGATTGGAATTGCTGACATGGATGCAGGCTTTCCTATGTGGCATGGCTGGCGCTGGCGTGGATATTTTTTATAATTTTTTGAATTTTTTAATAATTTTTAATTTTTTTCCTTTTTACAGGCCAAAGGGAAGAGAAGAAAAAAAAAGGAAAAAAAGGGAAGAATTATTAAAATATTATTAAGAATGTCCACGTCAGCATCGACCGTCCGCCGGCTATGCCACTTAGGATGGCCGGTGTCTACGTTAGTAATATTCGGCCTAAATTGGTGGTACTAATGTGAAAGGGTTTTTCTGGGGAAAATTATCAAAAAAGTTTTAAACCTATTGTAATTGCACAAATTCAGTCATAATCATTTTTTTTAGACAATTGAGTCCTAAACCTTTTGTATTTATGTCAATTCAGTCCATTTGGCCAGAAATCGCCGACATGGACACCAGCAGTCCTATGTGGCGCCGCCGGCATGACAACCAATGGTGTGTTTTCTTCTTTCCTTCTTCTTCTTCAGCCATTTTTTGAGTATTTGAATAAAGATGCATTAGTGTTCTTGAGTTGATCTTGAGCATGACTCTTGGGTGTTAGGGCGGATGATAAACATTCATACCTCCTGACTTTCTTGATTTTCCCTCTGAGAAAACTTCACGGATTGCTCAATTCGACATTCAGTTTTTTGCCTTTTCTGTTTAGTGCGGCATTTGTACAAATTCTCTCTCTTTTTACCTCATCATTTAGAAGAGAATGGGATTACTCTTTCCTTTGCGCCTCGTAATTCTTAATCTTTAATTTCTTTTAAGGCTTAAAATATCTTATTTTTAAATCTAGTATTAATGAAATTACTATGATAGTATAAAGGGAAAAAACAATAAAAAATCCCAAATTATGCCCAACGTGACGCATTTACCCTAAACTTTTTTGTGATATCAAAAACTCTAAATTATGCCAATTGTGGCACATTTATCCTAAATTTTTTCTTGTGACATAAAAAATCTAATATTTGTACCTATGTGATACATTTATGCTCTGTTAATGTTTCGTCAAATGATTTTTCAGCCAAAACATATTTTTATTTCACTTAAGTCACATGAGCGCCATGTTAACACTGTTTGCTTTCCGACATCCATGTAGGCGAATTTTTAACGGTGATCATTGACGGAATCTTGACAGAGGGTAAATATGTCATATAGGTACAAGTTTGAGATTATTGGTGTCATAAGAAAAAGGGTTAATACCACCAAAAACTCTAAACTGGTACATGTGTGACAATTTTACCCCAAACTTTTTTTTTGACTACCAAAAACCCCAAACTGGTACTCTGTGACAATTTTACCCCAAACTTTTTTTTATCACCAAAAACCCCAAACTAGTACACTGCAATTTTACTCCAAACTGAAACCCGTGACAAATTTACTCTAAACTATTTTTTGACCACGAAAAACCTCAAACTGGTAACTGTGACAATTTTTACCTCGAACTAATAATTTTTTAATATTATTTTTTATTTTTTCGATTTTATTTTTTATTTTTTTCATCTTCAACTTTTGGCCGGTCGCCGGTCCGGGCGGAGCCAGGATAGGTCGGCCCCCCCTGACCGGCCGGCGAGGCTCGACCTCGCCAGGCACGGCGAGCCCGACCTCGCTGGGCGGGCGGGCGAGCCGGCCCTCGCCGGCGCCGGTGAGGACAGGCCTCGCCGAGATGTCGCGAGGGCCGCCCTCGCCGGCGTTGGGCGAGGCTATCCTCGCCCGCCCGGGCGAGGCGAACCTCGCACGAGTCGGGCGAAGGCTATCCTTGCCTGACTCAGGCGAGGGTTGCCCTCGCCCGCCCAGGCAAGGGCTGGCCTCGCCCGACGCCGACGAGGGCAGCCCTTGCCCGACGTAGGCGAGGGTCGCCCTCGCCATATCCGGCGAGGGCAACCCTCACCCGACTCAGGCGAGGGTCGCCCTCGCCCGATGCCGGCGACGGCGGCCCGCCTGCCCTGCGGCCGGCGGGGCCGACCTCGCCGGCTTCCACCTGGCGGTCGGCGACTCTGGCCCGGCCAGGCCGGTTGAAGATGAAGAAAAAAAAAAAAGAAAAGAAAAAACAAAAAAATTAATAAAAATTCGAAAAGATAAAAAAATAATATTAAAATTTTAGTTCATGGTAAAATTATCACATGTGTACCTTGGGGTTTTTTGGTATGTTCAGTAAAATTGTCACAAGTGTACCATTGGGTTTTGGTATGTTCGGGTAAAATTGTCACATGTCATTTCATAAGCGACATGAACGTCATGTTAACACCGTTTGTTTTCCGACATTCATGTAGGCGAATTTTTAACGGTGATCATTAATGGAACCTTGACAGAGGATAAATTTTTGATAGTATTAATCCTAAAAAAAAAATAAAAATAACTGTAAACGTGTCACAATTGATATAATTTTTATTTTTGATGGCTTTTGTCCGTATACAAAAGATAGAAATTTCGAGGTACAGAAAGGATGGAGACAAGGGAATAATGGATGAGTATCAAGTACGCAAACTCCTGTGCAAATATTTGTACTTCTTTAAGTTTACGTAGTTGTCCACGTGCATCACATATTTTTCCTATACTTAATGACGGGCATTTGAGGAAGAAGCGATTACCAAAAGCGCACGAAACGCTTCTCGTCATATATTGAATTTATTGATTAAGGAATTTGGCTCACTGGCTCACTCTAATATATCTGCGATGAAAAGTACTAACCTTTACATAGGCCTTTGAACACACAACTGTTGATCTTTTTCCGGGTAAATTTTAAATCGATTTGATAATCAAGATTCTGGAAAAGCCATTATTATTGACGCTATTTTGTTAGTTATAGTTGAGTATGCATTGGATTAGTACGGTTAATTGCACTTGTGTCATTTTAGTAGACGAGATGCCAACATTAATTGCCATATCCACCACATTTAATTATTCCACAAATGGTACTTAGAAAATGGGAAACAGATATTTTTTGCAGTATGTCCTAGAGACTTTTAGCAGTTCTCTAGTCAAACATGAACTTCAATGGGAGCATCATCCTACATTGGTGACGCCAAAGCTATATGAAAAGCAGTTCTGTGGTCATGATCAAAGCCGAAGTGACAAGTCCAACCCCTCATTTTCAAGTCCCTGAGTGCTCAAGGAATCACCATTGGCGAGAACATTGGCAGGGGGTGGTTTCGGTCCTGTGCTCCGAGGAGAAACCGTAGTATGAAAGTTAGGGCCTCCATTACAGTTCGTCAGTTGATACACCATTCCGTTCAGCCGATTCGCCACGGCAGGTCGGTGCCACGCCGAGGCTTGAGGGCTTGTTAACGTTGTTGGCCTCTGCGGCCCCCCGTAGATAGGTCCATAAACATCAGTAGGTGCAGGCCAGGTACGAGGCCGAAAGGCACCGGGGTGCCTCGGGATAGGAATTGCCTGCATGCCAAAATAACATGGGCTAAAGTTAGGGTTCACCTGAGAAAGGTCATTAGCCATCCGTTCCTTTTCTGCAGCCCGCTTTCTTGCAGCATGCTCGCGCTTGTGAGCTTTCTGATGGCCCCCCAACGACTGAAATGTGCCAAACTTCGCCGTGCAGTACTTGCAACTGTAAGCCCGGGTCGCGAGGGTATTGTTGGAATCTCGTTTCGGCGTTTCGGGTTTTTCTCTAGGAGCTATTTCAAGAGATTTCAACGGATCTATCACGGGTGCGGATCCACGGTGATCATCATTAGACTGCTTCGCTTCAAGTACTAAAGGACCCGATATTTGCGGCGCCTTCTCCTCCGCATCTCCCGGGAGAAGAAGAGTCACTGGGGATTTCTCTTTGGAGAGGGGTTGTACTTGTTCCATGGCAAAGTTATAAATGTCTCGTGTGCTTGAATCAGAACAAAGAATGAAGTATTTGTAGGGAGAAGATGTTGCCATGCATGGAAGGATATCTCCACTTGTCCTTGATATTAGATGCACTAAGTTGGTATGATCTTGTGCTATGGGCAACTAAAATCTTGTGTGTCTGACTTAATAACGGAAACGAAGTGTGAGAATCGGAAACTTATCAGTGCTTTCCATTTAGGTCAAAAGGTGTCACATATGCTTTGCATTAGTCATCAATAGAGCACCTAGACATCAGTATGGCTATGAGATCAATGTAGTAATTGAAGAAATATATCAATCATTAAAAGCCGATAATGGTCAAGTCTTAAAGAGCCCTCTAATTCTTATGTATGCTGTAAATTAAATGTAACAAAGTGAATCGAATCGCACCAATCCGAATTGTTGGCCGCCGCCTCTATGCGCACATATCAGATTGCCATATACCGAAGATTGCTTTGAAAACAAGGTTATCCCGAACCTGAACGTGTGTTCAATCTTAAACATATGTACGACCCTCCTATTTCACATACTATGATATTGCGAAAATTATCCAAAAAATCATATACCTATTGCACTCTTATCAATTTAGTTCTAAACCTTTCAATTTTGTCAATTTTTTTTTGTCGAACAATTGTGCCAATTGAGTCTTAAACCTTTTCACTTTTTTTCAATTGAGTCCATCCGGCTAATTTTGATTGGAAATTGCTGGCGTGGATATCGGATGTCTCATGTAGCACGGTCGGCGCTGATGTGAACATTTTATAATAATATTTTAACTTTTTTGGTTTGTTTTCTTTTCTTTGGACTCAGGCCAGCAAGAGCGTCGTGGCTGTCGTCGGCTCTAGGTGAGAGCCACAATGCCCTCGTTGGATCTGGGCGAGGGCCGCATCACCCTTGCTTGGCCCGGATTTAGCGAGGGTAATGCAGCCCTCGCCGGCCCCTCGTCGGCCTAAATTTAAAAAAAACTAAAGAAAACAAAAAAGATTATGAAAAAAATTCAAAAGATATTTATTATTAAAAAATGTTTATGTTAGTGCCGGTTGTGTCGTATAGGACGGCCGGTGTCCATGTTAGTGATTTTTGGCCAAAATTGGCCGGATGCACTCAATTGACAAAATATGAAAAAGTTTAGGATTCAATTAGCACAATTGAAAGGTTTAGAACTGAATTGGTAAAAGTGCAATAGGTTTAGGGCTTTTTGGACAATTTTCCGCCATGATATTAGATAGGTGAAATCTTGAGATGACAATGCGTCATTTCGAGCTAGCTGCACAATGTCATTCAACTAATTTATTGAATCAAAGCACAATTTGATTATTTATGTTAGTTTTCAGAAGGCCTTTTCCATTTAATAATTTCATTATGTCAACCATCATAAAAAAGAATACTGTGCATCAAACTAACTGTATAAGAAGTGGCGAAAACTGACGAAAGTTGAATGGAAAACTTTGGATTGATTTCTCAATGAGTCTTGTTCAGTATATAATATACATTAGCAAATTGCTTCCTCAATGAGTCTTGTTCGTGGCCACTTAAATAGTTCTATGGTAAGCTAACTTGAATAATAATGCTCATCAAGTACTCTTAACAACAAAGAAACCACCTCTTTCCATTTTCCCGACTTCCCGCCATGCAAACTCAAATGTCATGGCCACTCAAATCTTGACCATCCCCACCGATGACGACTTCATCATCACCACCGTCGCCACCGACATGGCCGTGACCACCAGTTGGACCTCCGACGTTCGCCGCATCCACAGCGGAGTGACCCTGCTTGTCATCAGCCCGAACGTGCTCATCATCAGCTTCGCCATTGGATACAGCCAGCATTTCCGGCACCTATGAGAACCCATCGAGACCCTGCAACGGCATGACGTGACTGAGGAAAGTTGGATCTCATGAGCAGCTTTAAGGTCTGATATGATTAAGTCTTGATTAGATAAGAATCTAACTTTAGATTAATGAAATTGCAATAATCATAAGAAAGATAGAAATTTTGAGGTATAGTAAGGATGGACATTGGACGACATGGGAATAGTGGATGAATATCAAGTACGTAAATATTCTTACTTCTTTACGTTTTCGTAATTGTCCATACTTTTTGCTATACTTAATGACGGCCATTCTAGGAAGAAGCGGTCACCAGAAACGCAAGGAGAGCTTCTTATCACAAGTAGAAATGGTTGATTGAGGAATTAGTCTCACTTGCTCACTTTAATAATTTCCGCGACAAAAAGCACTTTTACGTTATTTGCGCAACACGCCGGCTGTTGAAAACGGAAAAGTTGATCCTTTCCCAGGTAAATTTCTAATCGATTTGATCATCGAGATTATGGAAAGCCGTTATTGGCGTTATTTTGTTAGTTAAGGTCGAGTATGCACTAGCTAGATTGGTATGATTTACTGCACTTGTGTCATTTTAGCGGGCGAGATGCCAAGATCAATTAGGATATTTACCACATATAATTAGTCCACAAATATTACTTAGACAACGCGAAGCATATATTTTTGTCATATGTCATAGAGACTTTAGTTTATTAGTCAAAACATTCACTTCAACGGAGCATCATCCTGCATTGATGTCAACCAAAGCTATATGATCAGTTCTCTGGTCATGATCAGAGCCTAAGGGTCAAGTCCAACCCTTCATTTTCAAGTCCTTGGGTGCTGAAGGAGCTTCCATTGGCAACAACGTTGGCAAGTGGAGGTGGTCTTGGTCCTGTGCTCTGAGGAAAAACCCCAGTACAAAAGTTAGGGTCACCATTGTTCCTAGGTTCATATACTGTTCCGTTTAGCTGATTCACCATGGCAAGTCGGTGCGATACTGACGCTCGAGGGTTTGTCATTGTTATCGGCTCCGGCGGCCCCCTGTGGGTAGGTCCGACGACATCCGCAGACGAGGGCCTAGCACGAGGCCCGCAGGCAGTGGGGTGCCTTGGGACAGGATTTGCCTGCATGCCAGAACAATTCGGCTTAGATTTAAGAGTCACCTGAGAAAAGGCATTAACGATCCGGTTCATCACTCGAGCCCGCTTTTTTGCGGCACGCTCGCGCTTGTGGGCATTTTGGTGGCCCCCCAGCGACTGCAAGGTGTTGAACCTCGCCTTGCAGTGTTTGCAACAATAAGATCGGGTTGCGAGGGTATTGTCGAAATTTCGTTTCAACGGTTCGGGTTTCTTTTGAGGATCTTTTTCGAAAGAATTTAACAGATTGATCAGGGATGTGGATCCACAGTGATCATCATTGTAGAGCTTCGCTTCGAGTATGAAAGGACTCGATATTCGTGCCGCCTTCCCCCCCGCATCTCCCGAGAGACGAGTCGCCAGGGATTTCCCTTTTGAGAGTGGTTTTGCTTGTTCCATGGCAAAGTTATAAATGTCTCATGTGCTTGAATGAGAACCAAGAATGGAGTATTTGTAGTGTGAAGATGTTGCTATGCATGGAAGGATATCTACCTTGTTTTTGATCTTACATCCACCAATATGGTAATCTTTTAATTGGAGCTTTAGTTCATGCAGCTTTGACTTATATAAATGCTTTTCCATATATGTCAAAAGGTGTGAGCTACGCATGGATTCGTCATAAATAGAGCACCTAGACGTGAGCATGGCTATGAGATCCATGTAAGAATTGAAGAATATACCAATTATCGAAAGTTCATAATGAAGTGTTGACGAGTCCTCTAGATCTTATGTATGTTGTAAATCAAATGCACCAAGCTCAAGCAAATCGCATTAATCCGATTTGTCGGCCACCGCCTCTACGAGCAGATATCGGATTTCCAAAGATTTCTTTGGAAAGAAGGTTATCCCGAAGCTGAACATACGTACAATACTAAACATATGCACGACCCTCCTATTCCACCTACTATCACGACTTTTATCATCTTAGGCTCCGTTCGTTTGGCGGAAAATGTTTTCCGGATTTTCCAGTGTTCGGGGGGCGGAAAATAACTTCCCACGGAAAACATTTTCCCTGGGAAAATTACCAAAAAAGTCCTCAACCTATTGCATTTGTGCCAATTCAGTCATAAACCTTTCAATTTGGCCATTTCAGTCCTAAACCTTTTGCAAACCAGCCAATTCAGTCCTTTTGGCCGGCCGGCGCTGACGTGGCCGCTGGCCGATTGACATGGTGCCGGCCGGCGTTCACGTGGCAATATTTTAATATTTTTTATTATTCTTTTCGAATTTTTTTTTCTTTTCCTTCTCCCCCCTGGCCTGTCCGGCCAGGGGGGAGGCTCGCCGGCGAGGGCCCAACTCCGGCGAGGCGAGCTGGGCCCTCACCGCCGCTGGGCGAGGGCGGAGCTCGCCCAGCCAAGGCGAACTCCGCCTCGCCGGAGTTGGGCGAGCTCGCCACGCCATGGCGAGCTTCGGCGAGGCGGAGCTCGCCCGGCCAAAGCGAGCTCCGGCGAGGCGGAGCTCGCCCGGCCAAGGCGAGCTCCGCCTCGCCAAATCCGGCGAGGCGGAGCTCGCCCGGCCATGGCGAGCTCCGCCTTGCCGGATCCGGGCGAGGCGGAGCTCGCCCATCCATGGCGAGCCGGGCCCTCGCCGCTCGCCCACTCGCCATGGTCAGGGCGAGCTTCGTCTCGACGGAGCTCGCCTTGGGTGGGCGAGCTCCGCCCTCACCGGCGAGCCTCCCCCCTGGCCGAACAGGCCAGGGGGAGAAGGAAAAGAAAAAAAAAAGAAAAAGGAAAAAAATTCGAAAATAATAAAAAAAATATTAAAATATTGCCACGTGGACGCTGGCCGGTGCCACGTCAGCCGGCCGGCGGCCACGTCAGCGTTGGCCGGCCAAAATGACTGAATTGGCTGGTTTGCAGAAGGTTTAGAACTGAATTGGCAAAATTGAAAGGTTTAGGATTGAATTGGCACAAATGCAATAGGTTGAGGACTTTTTTGGTAATTTTCCCCATTTTCCCTCCCATGGGCAATTTTGCCTTCACTTTGGGGAAAATGATTTCCTCTTTAGGCTCCGTTCGTTTCCCAAAAATATTTTTCCGGAAAACATTTTCCGCGTTTTCCGGTGTTGGAGCGGAAAATGTTTTCTGTCGGAAAACATTTTCCTTCCCACCCCCAAATCCTTCATTGTTTTGAGGAAAATGATTTCCTCTTTTCACAAAGAGGAAATCATTTTCCCCCAAAGTGAAGGCAAAATTGCCCATGGGAGGGAAAATATTTTCCGTGGGAGAGGAAGTTGATCGCCGGTCACCACCATCCGCCGCCGGTCGCCCGCCGCCGCCGGATCGGCGGTTGCCGAACACTAGAAAATATTTTCCGAAACTTTTTCAAATTTTAGCCGAACACCAGAAAATTGTGTTCCAGGAAAATGACTTCCGGGAGAATATTTTCCAAAAGGAGAATATTTTCCGGCAAACGAACGGAGCCTTAAAGAGGAAATCATTTTCCCCCAAAGTGAAGGCAAAATTGCCCATGGGAGGGAAAATGTTTTCCGTGGGAGAGGCAGTCGATCGCGGTCGATCCCGCTCGTCGGCTACCGGTCGCCGCTCCGGTCGTCGTCGGCCGGGCCGTCGATCGTCGGCCGCCACCCGTTCGCGGGTCACCGGCCGATCCGCCACCCAGGTTACCCGCCGCCGCCGTTCGGCCGCCGCCAGTCACCGCGCCGCCGATCAACCATGCGCCCGCCGTTCGTCGCCGCCAGTCGATCGTCGCCGCCGCCACCAACGGTCGCGATCCGCATCGCGTCGGCCATCGGTCGTCTGCCCGCCGCCCGATCGTCGGCCGTTGTTCGCCACCCGCCCGACCATGGGTTGTAGATCGCCGCCGCCGGTCGCCCGATTTCCGCCGCCGATCGCGGTCGCCTTCGGTCGTCGGCGCGATCGCCACCGCCCGGTCACCTTGCGTCGGCCGCCGCCGGCCGTTGGTCACCGCCGATCGCCGCCACCGCCACCAACCGCCGCCCGGTTGCCCGATCGCCGCCACGGCCCGTTGCCGCCCGCCGCCGCCGCCGCCGCCGACCGCCGGTTGCCGGTCGCCACCGCCGGTCGCCGGACGCCGCCGGATCGGCGGTCGCCGAACACCAGAAAATATTTTCCGAAACTTTTTCAAATTTTAGCCGAACACCAGAAAATTGTGTTTCAGGAAATTATTTTTCAGAAAAATGACTTCCGGAAAAATATTTTCCAAAAGGAGAATATTTTCCGCCAAACAAACGGAGCCTTAATATTATAATATCATTCAACTGAATAATTCAATAGAGCAAAGTGATTATTAACGGTAGATTTCAAAAGGCTTTCTCCATTTCATATTCTAATTTGCTCATAAAAAAAACTAACATGCATTAAACCGGATCCTATAAGCTTCTTGTTAACGAGTATCCTAAAAAGTCCTATCGAACGGTCCATCATTTGATAAAAAAAAAAATATTCGGTAAGTCCGGATCAACTGCTACTTATCTACGTAGTTCAAGATTCATATCTGATCCTGCTAAGTGCTAATCACTACCTCCTACTGCATCATGCATTTTTGCAAGTGTAGTCATCAAATCAGCATCATAGGCAATGCTTTTTCTTCCTCTTAAGGTATAATCTTGGCTCAACAAATGCATCGATCAAGAAGAGACGAACTAATGAAACCAATCACACGAATCAATGCCACAGGCACTATCAATCCTTGACAAAGAATTAAGTAAGAATCTTCTCCTTATTCTAGTAGTTAAATAGTTGCTTCTCGGTCTATCTCTGTTTCTTCATACCGCCTGGAGCTCCGCAAAGAATGGGTTTCGCGCCTAATATATTCTCTCGGCAGTGGAGACAGGTCGCAGGAAGATGATGATGACGGTGATGTTATCTTTGCTACCCCGTGCAGCAGCTTCGGTTGCCAATCTCTTGGAGCACATGCTCGGCTCCTTAACCGTGTCTTTGATGATGCTTATGACCTCTTCGCTGGTCAAGATATCCCATAGCCCATCACTAGCCATCACCTGGCATTCACCATTATAGCAGGTGTCAATGTGCCGTTCTCGTGTCATGCCATTTGATGCTCAAACCAGAATTTGGATTCACAAATTATGTCTCATAGAAAAATTACAGTTAAACTGTCGTAAGATAATACTCTTTACCAGATACTCGTCCTCCACAGAGAGAACAGTTTCAGTAATCTCGGGTTCAGCAGTTACAGCAGGCTTCAGATCATCATCTCCGATGGAGCGAGTAACCTATACGTGCAAAATAACAGTCAAGTACATGTTAACAGAAAAACACAAACAAAATGTGAAAACAGCGTAACTAGATTAAGAACTTCAAACACTTCAACTAAAAGAAGATACTTCTTCTATGCTTGGTAAAAGCACAGGAGTAGTTAATACTCCAGCTATTGGACTAGATAAAGTCCTATTACTACTACATCTTCGAAGTGGCAACCTTTGATATAAATATTAACAGTTAAAGAAAGCAACCTGGAGTGCAGCAGTACCGACTCGCCATGTATCAATTTGCCATTTAACTTGCCCTCCTGCATTAACGATGCGCTCTCTCTCTTCAGGGCAGCTTGCAACATGATCCTGACATATTGAGACCAAGTGGCTCAGGAGCAGCAACATAGCTACTAATGATAATTAACATGGAGGAAGTCGACAGACAGCTTACCTTACTAAGAGCAATAGGTCTACCGGCTCGACATAAGATTGTTTTGCAATCGCCAGCATTAGCGACATAAAGCTTGTTTCTGACTATGAGGGCAACTATCGCAGTGCAACCAGGATGCCAGTCTTTCTGGATTACACCCTTGGACTTCCGATAGGTATTCAATTCATTTCTAAACACAACGTCCGTCTTGATGAATGCTTCCAGCAATGCCTCGGGAGGACTGCATTTAATTGCTATTTGTTACTGAACGCACAGTAAAAACAAGATGTAACAGTGAAATGTTTCTTTCTTGAAAAAAAAGAAAACCTTTTTGTAGGACTAAAACTCCGCAAAATTCCAGGCAAAGCTTGAGCTGAGAACTCAGCAGCTGCTGCACCTAAACACGGTGGAGAGAAGTCAATATACAGTCGGAAAACTAGAATTAACATCTCCGACCCAAAACAAAAAAACCTAGAATTAACATCCCAAGCACTCAGAAAACAACCAATGTATATTTGCCATTGGGTAATTTAGAAGGGAACAGAGGAACCAGACGAGAAACCTTCCTTCTATATGTTTGTGACTACTTGTTTCTCACAGTTATCGGAAAAGAGTCAGGACAAGGAAGACAAGTTGAGAAGGCAGTGTGACTTTCTAAATAATAATAAAAATAAAAATAACGATAACGATAATAACGATGATGATAATAATAATGACAACAAAAATACTATTGCATACCATCTATAGACCAAATTCAAAGGTTTCAAAATGCTGAGCACTTTAAATGACAGCTGGTTAAATATACATTGACTATTCCAAAATTGTATAAGGAAATTCTAACAACTAATCAGAGCCAGGCATGAAGAGGACATCGGAAGGAAAAGTAAGAAAGCAGTACCACATTCACATATATACCAACACCCGTTGAGTTTTTTGTCCTTAGAATATTATATTTAACAGATAAATCAATTGAAAAGTCTTCAAAGGAAATTATCAACCTACAAGGTATCTACTTTTTAAATTTTGAAAGTTTCTAGAAGCATGGTTCTGTTTCTCTTAGTATAGCTGTCTCCACCCTAAAGAAAAAAAAGTTTACCGCGCTTAAGCACCTCTATGACCATCGAAGATGCCAAAGATATGTATATCCTTCTGATTCCCAATGTTAGGTAAAAGGAAATGAATATCCTCCATGGTCTCCCTTCTCCCACATGTCGCAAAGGAACCTGAAGAAAGAGTAGGGCAATATCCGGAAGGATCATTGGAACCATCAAGCGGAAATCTTACAGCAGAATCAGCTGCAAAAGAAGCTCTCTTGGACAAATGTTCTCCCTGAAGGGACCAGTTCACACTCTCTTGATAAGTTCGAACACTGGTCTCATCTTTAAAGGAGGTGTTAGTACTATGAATCACGTGCTCTTTCTTCATCATTTTTCTGCCTTGCAAGATTGCCTCAAGCTCTGCCACTATGTCATCAAACGAAGGCCTATAAGAAGGATTCCCATCCCAACACCTCTGTATTAATGATGATAGACTCTCCGGCAACCCCAACTCCAGACCAGCAAGAACTGGTCGGAGCCCATCAGAGACAACAGCTGCAGTAAGTTGCTGTTCACTATAGTTCATCTCAAGTACCGTATGGGCCTGCCAGCAGAACAAGCACGAAACCTTGAATAAATAAAAATTGAGGGTCCACAAACTCGTAGAGTCAATAACCAGAGGCCAACCTGTGCTTCTGCACGGAGATCAGTATACGGGACAACGCCAGTAAGAAGTTCACTGCACAAACGAGATCACAATTCTATCCTTATGACAGCTTAAAATTTCAAAAACTAGCAGTATAAGCTCTTAAATGCAGACATAACTAACTCAGGACTCAGTTATATGTCCAAATTCAAAATCAAAACCAACAACTAACACAGATTAAAGTCTTAAGCTTAATCAGCCTCAAACCTATGACTTTCAGTCTACCTATGAGGCTATATGTAAATATTGTGATGAGTATTGCCATCTTTTCACCTTTTCACTGTGCACATGTACAGTTTGACAGGCTACATCATGTACTAAATAATGATCAATCACGCGAATTTTCAAATTTCAAAAAATAGAAAGTCCGTAGTACAGTTCTATGCAATGCCTTTGAAACACAGATACACAACTAAACACGACATCCATTGTACTTGTTTTACCACTGTAGGTGTGAAAAGAGTACACACAAGTTTAATCAAACAGAGAATTTAAGGTAGAATATGACCGATAAATGATGCATGGAGGTTAAGTTTATGAGAAACGATGGTTAGTCATCATTGGCAAGGAGAAGGAAAGCATAGATCTTCTTCTAGCAATGCAGCACCCTGAAAGCAATTAATTGAGGATCAAGGATGTTACTCTACATGCATCACTACTGACATATGTTCTATTATTCAACTGCAACAATGCTTCCCTATTCTTCCCAGCTTTTTAAATCTACTTAATCCAGCCTTTACAGAATGGAATCTTTCTGTAGACGATTTCCATGTCCCAAAAGCACATGCTAACAAATAAAATAACTATGACTAATGCATTTCAAAGAACATATCTGACTAGTCAACTTTTCTTATATGCTGTGAGCTTCATCAAATACTGTTTCTAAGTGCAAGAAGCCCTAAACAATCTCTGTATGAAAGCTTAGAAGGAACTGATCATCGAAAAAAACAAGCAGCTAACGGAAAATTATCTCTACAAAATCAACTTTCACTTCCCCGTAGCTTCTTACTGAGTAATTCTTGTTAATTTGTTTGCAGAGACAGTTCCAATCGCTATGTTTCCAAGGAAGCTCCAAGTATGTACTTTTTTCTTTTTTGGTCGGAAGCTTTTACTATGTACTCAAATCAAACGGCATACAAGATAACTTACTTCAACCTTCGGCCCGTTACACATAGCAAATTGGAAATAGATCATTAGAAACTTGATGAGAAGTCAAAATCTTGCACGAAATAGCACTGGAATGTCATATATGGCTCCAACAAAGATCAGTGTATTTCGTCCTCCATAAAAGGGGAAAAAAAAACTTCCAAAGGCAGCAGGCAGAAAACTAACCAGAAGCAGAGGGTTATGAAGCCATCTCATAGGCACACAATATATCTAGCCAGATAAGGAACAGGTTCCGTGCTAAAAACTACTCCAATTAAATATGCAGTGAAAAGGGCCACAGAAGATGCCAAATGCCGGCAGAATTCAACCATAGAATTATATGTATCCTCAAAAAAACACAAACATATTAAAAGAACTTACTTTATAGATACTCCAAAACTGTAGACATCCGATTTTTCAGTATGTATCTCTTTCTTTAATATTTCAGGTGCCATGTAGATAAGGGTGCCAACCATATTTTTCTTGTGGAAGCCACCAGTTGGCTTGCCAGAAGACTTCCAGGTTTCAATAGAAACTTCTTTAAGATGTTCCCTGTATGCTGCCAAACCAAAATCAGCTAGGTGTGGAGAGGACTCTTTGTCAAGCTGCAAAACAGCCATAGCTCCATCAGCATAACTACTTAAGGTCGTCACATGATTATTAATGAAATGTAAAAAAGAATGAGTGTATTTCAGGGTGGGATGAATTCAATGTAAGAAAATTTAGAATGAGGATCTTAAAAGAAGACAATTACAAGAATATTTGCAGGTTTCACATCCCTATGGACAATCCCCTGGTTATGAAGATACTGCAAAGCCTTTGCTGGAAACAAACAAAACGAACAAAAATAATGAGAAAATCAATCAAAGAAATGAAAAACAAACTAAACAAGTATGAGAAAAATTAGAAAAGGGAAAATTTCAATGAAGATCAGTCTGAGACAAGCACATCAAAATGGTGAAAATAACTTCCAATGCATGACAGGTTCTGCTAGTGTGCACATACAGAAATTATGAGAAACACTCTCCCTTAGCTACTTGCATTGATATTAAACTACTTCTGCCACTTAAAGATAGAAATCTTGATCATTGATTGAGTAAGAGAAATCCTAGGATGGTATTTTTACGAGTATTGGCAAATGACTTCCACGATTATCAAGAAAAAAAGAAGACAAAAGAACACATTAAACAACTTATTTAAGTATATTGTAGCAGGCTACCTTATGATGTTCAGAATAATCTACAATATCTCTGCGCAAATGCAGGGTGTTTTAATTGACACAGACTAAAAGTCTATCTCCATCATATGTATTGCCACGCAAGAATGGAATTTAATGTCTCTAGCTTAAATACACATAAGGCCAGAGAAGAATTATCAAGGAAATACTTAAAATATCAACAAAGAGCATCAGTTCAAATGATGACATGCACTAATAATAATTAATCATCACCATATGTATAGAATGTTTATAAACCAGCACAAATATGGGCGAACTGATTTCTTTGCAAAAAAACAAAAATTCAGGTGACAAATATGCCCACCAAGTTGAATTTATCAACTAACAAATTCAGCTTGAGAGTGAAAGCAAGAACACCGTAGAAAACAAGAAACACTATATACTAGCGAAAAGCAGCAAAATAACCGAAAAGCACAACATGCTAACCTAAGAAATATACCCACCAAGTTGAATTTATCAACCAACAAATTCAGCTTGAGAGTAGAAGCAAGAACACCGTAGAACACAAGAAACACCATCTCTTTGCGAAAAGCAACGAAATAACCGAAAAGCACAACATGCTAACCTAAGAAACATACCTAGCTGCATGGCAATCGCGAGCGCATGATCGAGATCGGGGATCCACTCCTCGACATGTAGTTTATCAGCGAGGTTCGGGGACTCGTAGAATTTGAAGAAGAACATGTAGTTGGGCGGCTTCGCGTGGGCAGCAAGGAGAGTCGCAATGCCGGGATGATCCAGCTTGCTGCAGCAACAAACCACAAACCAATACAACACACAGAGCAGCACCATATGAGCACAGGAATCGAAGCCCCACATAGTAATTGCTACCACTGACCCACACGCAACAACTTTTCATTATTCAAACACCGAGCAAATCGTTCGACAAGCACAGAAAAGCACACAAATCAAGAAATCACTGACATTTATCGAGAGAGAGAGAGAGAGAGAGAGAGAGAGAGAGAGAGAGAGAGAGACCAGAGCAGTTGGAGTTCCTTGTGGAACTTGTCGATGTCGTCGGAAGTGGCCAAGAAGGGTTTCTTGACGGCGACCCTCTTGCCATCCAGGACGGCCTCGTACACGACGCTCTCGGCCCCTGCAGGGCAACAACCCAATTAGCCCATCTCGCAATTCAAAACAAGAAAAGAACGGGTGGTGAAGGAAGCGGAAACCATCAACCTCCGTGGTTGATGATGATGATGGATAGGGGTGAAATGGGTAGAGAGGGGACCTCGAGCGATGGGGGAGAGGAGGGAGTAGGAAGAAGGAGGGAGGTGGAGAGGGATGGATCGGCTGGAGCAGCAACCTCTGACGCACGTGTTGGGCTCCACTATCCCTATACCCATCTCTCTCTCTCTCTCTCTCTCTCTCTCTCTCTCAAAGAAGGAGGAGGAGGAGGAGGAGGAGGAGGGTGACAATGGGTGGGGTGCAAGTTCCGAGCTTTTGAGCTCGAGCTCTGAGAATTTGGTCGTGTCGGGCGAAGAAGTTTCGTGGCCGGAAAATGACGAAAACAAGGAGGCTCTTGCCACCACCCTTGTACGGGAGAAGAGATTCCACGAAGCCTGGCCTCCTCCTCGCTTCTCCTTCTTCTTCTCCGTCTCCGATCTGTTGTTAAATGGGGTCCGTTACCAAAAAAAAAAAATTTAAAAAAAAAGGATTTTGTTTAAAAAATTGTGTCGGCGCAATTATTAAACGTCCAAAATAAAATAAAAATTCTCACTTTCGGAATGCTGTTCTTGTTCTTTGTTCGTGTCATGCGCAATCGATACATTGCAAATCCAATCCCAACTCCTAAGGTTGCGTTTGGTCGACCAAATAAAAGTCAGGATAGGATATATTTTATCCTATCCCGCTTTGTTAAATGGTCAGGGATAGGATAAGGTCGGATATTGATGGGATATACCGGATAAAAAAATCCAGGGGAGGTGGAATAGACCTGGATATGATTTCTAATATCTATTTTTTCGAAATCTTATGCTCCACTCGCCGTCATCTTCATCCCCACACCTTGTGCGCTTTCACCAAAAAAATTCTCGGCTTTTTTCCTTCACCGACTCCTCCGAACCCGTGAATAGCAAAAAAAAAAAAAAATGTATCCTATCTCGACTTTAAATCCGTAGTCCACCAAAGAACGATTGAATAGAATATAAAAAATCCCGGATTTCTTATCCTATCCTATCAGTCCTATCCCTGTTTAAAATCCGGACGACCAAACGCACCTAAGTGCTTCGGGATCGGCCGATGGACCGTTTTCGCGATGTAGCCCAAACCGCCCATTCTGGCATGTGCCCAGCAACATAGATTTCCCCTTCACCTCTTTGCTCCCCAGTCGATGACATTGGACATCGGAGGGTCCTTCTACGGCCAAAGCTCATTAGGCATCCTTTGCTTTTCATGGTGTGCAACTGAGTCTAGCCCCTCCGGTGGAATAATGATTTTACCGTCTTTAAACCCAACGATGAGATTACCAACGGGTGTTTCGCCGGAATTTCTCCCACGGCGAAATATCGTTCACCAAGGTTTTTATTTAAGGAAACCAAGGGTTCTGCGCCAATTCTGAATAAGAGATATCACAGGCAAAAGAAACCAACAGCTTAAATTAGAACGGGGCTGTACAAATGCAAGCCGTGCTGGAATTTTATCGACAGCGAGGTCTAGAAGATACATACTCGATGAAGTAACCAAACGTAAACAACTTATGTTGGAATTTAATCGATGACATAGAATCGTAATAAAGACGCACGCCGAAATTTAATCGACGACGCGAATTTGAAAGCTGCAGCTGGAGAAATAAAGTGCGGTGCAGGAAGATAAAAGTACTGAAATGATAATAAATTTGTTTGATTTGTGCGGGGCTCTCTAATGAATGACCGGTGGAATTTATAATGGTCTAGTAACAACTGCTTTCTGGTGATTTTCAGCAGTTGCATTTCCTTGAAAGGTTAGGGCGCGTTTGGTAACGCTTCTGCATTTCTCTATTTTTCTCATTGTTCGTTCCCTGGAACAAAAAAGAACAAATCCGTTGGTAACTTAGCATTTCATTTTTCTATTTCCGGAATAGAAAAGTGGCCAAGAAATAGATTTGGAGAAGTAAAAAAATCTACTTCTTTGTTCCTAGAAATGGAAATAGAAATAGAAAGGTGCGGTCCTCAAGTCGCGACCTCAGCTCCTCCTCCATCCTCCGTCGTCTGCAAATCGTCTCAAAGCACCGGTCCGGTCCATTCTCGGCGGAAATAATAAAAAAATTATAAAAAATTAATTAAATTATAAAAATTCCAAAAATTCATAAAAATCAGAAAAACTCAGAAAACCCATAAAAATCAGAAAAACTCAGAAAACCCATAAAAATTTGCAAAATTCCGAAATTGAAAAAATTAAAAAAAAATTCATAAAAAGCTTTCTGGAAAATAAAAAGAGACAAATTTCGGGAAAGTAAAAAGTTTTAATAAATTTTTCCCCAAAAAAAATAAAAATAAAAAATTCACATAATGGCTTAGAATAAATTAAAAAATTCCGAAAATTCATAAAAATTAGAAAAATTTCAGAAAAATCCCATAAAAAATTAGAAAATTAAAAAATTCCCAAAATTCATATAAATCAGAAAAATTCTCAGAAAATCCATAAAAATCAGAAAAAAATCAGAAAACTCTTAAATATTTGCAAAATTCCGAAATTGAAAAAATTAAAAAAATTTCATAAAAAATTTTCGGAAAAATAAAAAGAAACAGATTTAGGGAAAGTAAAAAATTTTAATAAATTTTACCCCAAAAAAATATAAAAAAATTCACATAATGGTTTAGAATACCTGTGGCCACCCACTTTGAGCGAAATTTAAATTTTTGAGGTGCCCGAGTGGTATTTTTGAAGATTCCTTAGTTTAGGGATTAAAAGGGGTTTTAAACCCCTAAAAAGGATTAGACAAGCCAATAAATCATGTTTATTGATTTTTTTCACTTATAACTTGTACTTATAGTTAAATAAAAGATATAGATTTGAATGCAAAAAATTGGGAATAGAAATTTTGTGCGATTCTAAACGCATTTCTCTTCTTTTTCTATTCCAGGAATAGAAATTTTGTGCGATTCCAAACACATTTCGTTCTAGAAATAGAAATTTTGTGCGATTACCAAACGCATTATTTTGCTCGAAACTCTTCCGGAAATAGAAATAGAAAAAACTATTTTTGAAAAGAAATTGTTCCTAGAAATAAAAACGTTACCATACGCACCCTTTCCGTCCATGTCCCTCTATTTCCGCAAATATCGTGCCCACACTCTAGTAAAGTCATGATTCTACCGGTTGCTCTTCCTGGACGGTGTGTTAACTGCCCCGTGATCTTACTTTTGCACGATTGTTGTTCTATGGTCTTACTCCCTGAGTGATGATTGTCCCATGATCTTGTTCATAAGTGTTAACTGTTCCCCCTAAAAATGCATATTCATTTCTCCTTGATCTCAATTGCTTTGCTGATTTTAAACTTCGTAATTGTGTTTCGACGCTCCTTAAGTAAAACACCTGTGAGTCAATCCATTGCCTCAATTGCTTTGTCTCGAATTTTGATAACCATATTCCTATGCTTTTCAAGCTACCAAGAACTTCGATGCTATGCTGCTCTTCATCCATTGGTGCTAAACATTAACATTAGAAATTCTTTGCAGAAGATTGCATCTTACAACGAGTCTTCAAGACCTTAATTTCTGAGCCATGTGATGCTTTTAAATCTTAAGAGCTAACCCGTTTCCTTAAATCTTGTATTAGCCAATTGGCAAAGAGTTAAAAGATCCAACACCTTTCACATGCTTCTTGTTGCTACATAAGACCATCTGACTCTCTCCATCTTGGTTAACTTGCCAAGAACCATTTGATCTCTAAAGAGGAAGCCCGTCTGTCAAACTGAAAAACTCTTAACACCATAGCCAATCCAAAGTCACGCAATGTCACTGATTCAGGAAGTAAGCAAATTGCTAGGAAGAAACATATGATCTGTTCATTGTCCCTCAATACTTTTATGCTACAATGACAAAGAATAAGCATGTGCTCACGACACTCTAGACTGCACTTTTACAGGCTATATGATGTAGACTACCTTGTACAAAGAAGAACAATTTTGACGGGAAGATCTGCAGTTCGATGCTTGCAACAGCTTTTGCTCTGTTTTAGGCCGTCCTTGAGAGCATTGTCCGAGATATCTCGGCCTGATATACCTTATATTCCTTTTGCTTGTCTTTTAGCTCCTTGAACACAAGCTTCACATCTCTGCAATTCATCAAAGGCAAGAGAAACTCTATTAAGCGAAACATGAATTTTCAGTTCTAAGTGAATGAAGAAAAAACAAAACCAATCTAGTCGCGTTCTGATCAAGAAGAGTCGCGTGGCGAATTTGCATACCTATTGTCTGGTTGGAGAATTAACGCTTTGTTAATATCACCCTCGGCCTCGTCGAAATCAGAACTTTTCAGGTATGCTTGTGATCTCCTGTACAAAGCCTTGATATTGCGAGGATCAAGATCCAATGCCTGTCACACAGAGAAAGAGTGTGAATTATCTAGACTTAATACACTTTGATTATAGTAAGGAAGGAAAAAATTGATAGATTTTTAATGATTAAAAGTAAATAACAACAATAATAAGATTCCATTCAATATATGCTCATTCTGCATTACTCTGTTAGAGAGAGTCAACACCAATGTCGGATAAACTTCATCACTCATCGTAACAAGGCAACAACTATGTCTGTTCATCCTAAGTTATTGTGTGCGTGTGCTCACCCCTTCTCATGCTTGTGTGCACATGCCTGCATGCGTGCGTGAGAGAGAGAGAGAGAGAGAGAGAGAGAGAGAGAGAGAGAGAGAGAGAGACCTTTGTACAGAATTTTGTGGCTCCGCTATAGTCCCCCAATCTAAGTTTACAAGCAGCATTGTTCAAATAGCATGATAGGCGTAACGCATTCGCTGAGCTCTTCTCTTCATCAGTAAAACAGTGGTCAAACTGTACATATTTCTCAGCCTGCAAGCAGATCATAATCAATAGACGTGGTGAAATATAACACTTAGCCATAAAAAATTCTGTGATGGCATTTTCCATTGGTCACCTTCTCGTATTTCTTCGATGCACACCAGAACTTCCCTGTCTTGAACAGGGAATTTCCGTCATTCTTTGTGCTTTCGCATGCTTCTAACTTTTCACGAGCATTCATCTTCCAAAACGGCTTGTCCTGTAAAGAGCAGAAGTTGATTCTACATGTAGCGGCATTCTTTATGGTATGAGATCAAGTAATAAAGAACATGAAAATGACCTTGGTAAAGTCGATCAATTCGACTTCATAACTCAATACTGAATTTGCCAAAACCGCCAGATCATCTAGACCGACGACTGAGTTGGTTCTCAAAGTCACAAGGGCTTGTTCTCCTTTCTTCATGCTCAGGATTGCTCTGTCTAGGCCCTCATTGACTTGTTCTGAGCAGGCATAAACACTCATAATTAGCTTCTACTCATTTGACGAAGTTGGAAATTGCTGTCTAGGAATGCCAATGAATGCAGAGTACCTTCAAGGGCTACATACTCGAAAGGCTCCTCAGTTGATCCCTTCTTCTCAAAAATGCCTCCGTCTTCAAATTTACCAGTATATGCCACTGAAAGATAGAATTCATTAGCACAATGACTAAACAGGAGAACTCTAGATTAACATTTACATTTCAAGAGATCTTCCGCTACGCTTACAGTAAATCACCTTTGACAACTGATCCTTCATTAGGATGGTCAAAGCCTTCACCGGCTCTTACGATCTTCTTAAGCACTTTCTTATCGCCAGTAACATCAACCACACTTTTCCATGCAATTAACTCGAGCTGGATGACCAAATTGGAATCAGCTAAAGCACCAAGTTCAGTGCTTTGAGGTACACTTTTGCTCCACCTGAAGCCATCTGAAGAAAGCATAGGAAATCAAGATTCATGTGTGTCTCCGAGAAAATGCGACATCTGCTTAAATTTTAATCCTTGGAGGGAAGACATAATACCGGCAACTTACAAGAAAACTTCACGGCTAGCTCCGCTTTCTCGCCCTTTCTCATTGTTTTCGCCGCTATGCTCATCGCTGGACACAGATGCACTTTTTCGGAACTAGAATCTAAAGAATCACTAGGAACATTTCAGAGAGCCTCTCTATTTTCTAGCAGGAGATGTGAAGAAATTAAATATAATACAAGGAGGCAAGTTCAAGTTCAACCCACCACACCCGATTTGAAACTCCACATCTCCATCGGACTTCGAGATGACAGTTCCGTCGTCGAGCATCACCTCGTAATTGACTGCAACAAGAGCTGTTAATTCTCAATATATAGAAAGATGTCGAAAGTTCCTTTTTTTCCCCCGGGAATCTGGTCCTAGCGTATTTGTCATTAGTACCTCATTAGGAAGAAAAATCAACCTAACAATCATGAAACTCTGTACTCGAACTCGTGTGGTTGAGTGTGATGGTGCAGTTAAAAAGACATCGGACAACGTTTCCTGTTTCCAGACAAGTAGCAATTCGCCGAATGTTACGACACTAACCAAATGAAGTGATTACCTAAAACTTCATCAGCATCACGAGGAGTAGCCCAGCCCTCTCCCTCTGTGATAATCTTCTTCAGGACTCCTCCATCTCCTGTCAAGTCCCTGATGCTAGTCCACGATACCATCTCGATGTCGAAAACGAGAGTGGCATTCGGAGGGACGAGAGGAGGAGACCCTCCTTCGCCATAAGCCAAGTTCGGAGGTATCGTGAAGACCGCTCTCTCTCCCCTTTTCATCGTGGCAACTCCTTCGTCCCATCCTTTTATCACCTCACCTTAAATATAGTACACTGTCTCATCAGCAAGTAGACAACCTAAATTCACAGGAACCATGAAGGGGAAAGTTCACAGATATTTGCATTGAGAGATATTAGATATGTCACGCTTGTACAAGATTTTAGCAGCCCATCTTTCCATCCAAGTAATGTTATTGAGGGGAATTCAATGCGAGACTACCCCAAAAAGGGGGCTCGAAATGCGTTCCTTCTAGCTGCCTAATAATTTCCAATTGGCCTCAATGCAAATGCAGGATTCATCCACAGCTACTTTCATTTCAAGAAACCACAAGTCTTTTGCAATTTCAGCAGAGAGAGACAGAAAATAGTCGTGTTATCATGATCGAGATTCTAAACCAAAACTCCAGAAGCAAAACCAATCTACTGAAACAATGCAGTGCAACATGTAGGCTTTTGGTCTGCTCACATTGGCCTAACTTGAACTCCAATGTAGTAGCGCTCCCTTCACTGCTCGAATCGAGACGAGCACCGCCCTCGACTCGTCCACTGTAGCGAACTGCATTCCAAACAAGAATAAACAAAATCCCGTCGCATCGTTCGCTCATTTAAAGCATGGAAAACACCAAACAGTCCTTGTCTTGAGTACCGTGTACTTGGTCGCCGGGACACGGAGTCCGCCACGAATTCCCCTTCCTCAGAATCCGCTTCCCGAGCCCGCCTTTTCCGATTCGAATTTCCTTCTCCGAAAGTCTTGAACGCTCAACTCCATCGCTTCGAGCTTTCAAGCAAGAAGCTGCCATTAGAAAAAGTGACTGGCTGTTTGCGAGGGAGTGAGTGTAGAGGGGAGAGTTTTCAGTTGAAAGAAGATAAGCCCGTCGTCGGTTTCCCTCCTGTCCTGTGATTCTTCGGTTAAGATTTTTCTGTTATTCTCTTCCGTGGACTTTGGGCTCAGTATCGGGCCATCTTTTGGGCCTATCCGTTAGCTTGTGGTGGACTAAGGATCGAAACAGTATTTATTACTATTATTATTATTATTATCACACGAGATTTTTGAATTTACGACTCGATTAGCTCCCGCTTATTTATTTCTTTTGATCGTGAAAAATCCAATAATATAAAAAGAAGGCCCGAGCGCACTCGCGCGGATTGGCATTACCGACTTTTCAAAACGGAAGATCACCATTCATGATCATGAAATCGGGGTCACAACATAAGTGCATTCGTGCTTATACATTTCGCGACCTCTTTGCCTCGGCGTAATTTTTACCCCGGTGCTGCGCGCATACTTTTAACGACGTTTTTACAAACCGGCGGACGCTCCCCTCGATCATGGGACGGTGTTCGAGGGGTGGGAATTCGCGAAACTACTACAGTGACGGGGGTCGTCGATTTTCAAATGGCGAGCCGAGACTCAGGCGAGTCAAAACTCGTTTTTTAAATCCGAAAGTTTTTAGGAGAGCCAATCCCCTGCCGCCACGTCGCGTCCTGTCTCAACGGATAAGGGCGGGAGGCCAAAAATCTTTCCTCCATCAACTGTCTGTCTGTCTGTCTGTCTGTCTTCTCTCTCTCTCTTTCTCTCTGTGATGTCGCCGGCGACGATGACCGCCGCCCGCGCGCCTCCGTTGCCGTTCGCCTTCCTCTCGAATCCGCGCAGAGCCCCCATCCGAGCCGCATTCCGCCGCGAAGCCGAGGGCGGCGGCCGGCTCGGGAGGAGGGAGCTGCTGCGGCGGGCGGCTCTGGCCCCTCTCCTGTGGAGCGTCACGCCGGCGGCGCCGGCGGCGGGAGCGAAGGAGGTGGAGGTCGGCTCGTACCTACCGCCGTCGCCCTCCGACCCTTCCTTCGTCCTCTTCAAGGCTTCTCCCAGAGACACCCCCGCGCTTCGCGCAGGTAAATCGGCCGTCTTTCCGTCCTTCGGTTCCTCTCTCGCTCGATGCTTTTGTTCTTTCGATGCTCGAATGATTTGACTCTGCATGACGGCTGTGCGTGCGGGCAGAGTATGGAGTGCGCGATTGAATCGCCGGCGGTGGGGGTTTTGATGTCGTGAGTGGCGAATTTGATCATTGCTGCACTCGATTGTTCCCCCAACGTAGACATCGTTGGCTATTCAGGTCTCAAATCAAGTGCAAATGATACGGTTTTCATCATCTTCATTTTCAATCTCGAATCTAACCATATGCCTCTAGTGTCGATTACAGAGTGTTTTTGTACCCAATATGCTGGATGAATCTCACCCGAATCTGTTTCGAATCAATTTCATTGTACGATGACGAATTGGTGATGGTTTTGGCTCGAGTTTATGTGGCTGTTTAGTGTTGTCAGATTCAAATGATACTTGAAATTTAGTGATTTGCAGGGAACGTTGAACCCTACCAATTCATCCTTCCCCCGTCTTGGAAACAGATGCGAGTGGCCAACATACTGTCGGGCAATTACTGCCAACCGAAGTGCGCGGAGCCGTGGGTGGAGGTGAAGTTCGAGGACGACAAGCAGGGGAAGGTTCAGGTGGTGGCCTCCCCTCTCATACGCCTCACGAATAAGCCCAACACGACCATTGAGGAGATCGGGAGCCCGGAGAAGCTGATTGCCTCTCTCGGCCCTTTCGTCACGGGGAACACGTACGATCCAGATGAGCTCTTGGAAGCATCAGTTGAAAAGCTCGGTGATCAGACGGTATTCACATTCTGTCTGCTCATTCTGTCATCGCTCGATAGGCACTTTGAGTAGGCTTTTGATATCCGTGTTGGTCGAGTTCCATTATACTCGAGGACGTTCGGACTTGTGTTCTGGGAAATTGCATCCCCAGTGGGAACTTCTGTTCCCTGATAGATGCCAGTTCTATATGCTTACACATTAGCAGCTAGACCTTAAGAAATCTAGGTCTTTCGTCCAACTTAGCCCTTAAGCTAGCTGGACAAGCCATTGCATGGAAATGAGTCTTAAGAAGTTCAAGACAGCAGAAATAGAAGTTCACACATGAGACTTGGCTAATCATCAATTCATGGGCTTTCCATGAATATTGGTTAGCTTTTTGCGGTTTTTCCAAAATAATTGACAAAATGAGTTTGGGAGTTCCAGCTGGCTGACACATTCAACTTCAAGAACTTAAGGCAATTTTCTTGCTCTCCTTCTTCCCTTCTTTCTTTCTTTTTACCTTTTTGGGTCCAAGCAGGGTGTTTTCTCCACTTCACTTTTCAGCAACAGTAGTAGGAGGGTACCATTGCTACCCAGCACAGCTAAATTTTGGTCAAAGTCCAGTTAAATTACTTTTAAGCTTTAACACTACATTTCATTTTCTTCCAGCCGTTCAGGTTAAGCATAATCAATGACTCTTGAGGGGGGCAAAAATTTGTTGGACCCTTTATATCAAGCTTCATACGTTTATCCTTAACCTGTTGATTTGATACTTGGATGCTATTTACATGGTGGATGCAGTATTACAAGTACACGCTGGAGACTCCATACGCCCTGACGGGCTCGCACAATCTTGCTAAGGCGACGGCAAAAGGGAACACCGTCGTTTTATTCGTTGCCAGTGCGAACGAGAAACAGTGGCAAGCATCCGAAAAGACTCTGAGAGCAATGCTGGATTCTTTTCAACTTTAGTAATCCAAGGTAAGGGATGCGGGATGGTGTTAAAACGTTTCTTTCAGAGGAGAAGATTGAATCCTGTCGGCAGGAGTCTGGAAACAAGATAATACTTGTATTGTACATGGCCTATAGCCAATTACTCTTCTTTTACCTACTGTATATCATCTAGTTGGGATTTTGGAGATTCCCTGATGTAGATCTGAATTGTACCCGTTTTTTCATATCATGTCGATCACTATCGAACACGATGCCTAAATGTAAACATTGGACATCATGAAAGCCAAAAGGAATTGATTGCGATTCTTGAAAGCGGATCTCGGGGTTTCATCTTTTTACCTCAAACTGCATTTAGTCAAAGTAAAAAGGAAGAGTTGATCTTTACAGGTGTGCTTATCCTTTGCTTCATCAGGAATGGAATCCTGATGGAACTTGTCTGATGTTCCATCGTGCATGATCATCAATGAAATTTGGCTTATGCTTTAAGCGACAAGGAGGAGGCAAAGATTTTTTTTTTAGTCTGTGTTGACCTTGGAAAGCGAAATCTCAAAGATAAATGAGCCAATATTTAGAGACTAATAATTGCTAGCGGAAGATGATTTAATCGAATACTTTGTTGAATTTAATTGGTTCAGTTGAATCTGAGCTGTCCGTAATGAGATGTTCAAGAGAATTGTTTATCCTGGATGTGATCTTCAAAAGGCTTATTTAACAATTAATCTAGTCTTGCTTATGTGCCAAATCATCGATGCTGATCCCCAGGAAGATCTGAAAAGCAGACAATAACTAACGATTTGAGAAAAATTATTGCTTCTGCGTTTATGATTAGGTCGTCCTATCGTGTGCTTCTGTTTAGGTCAGTGTTACAGGACAAAAGATTAAATCAACCTTTAGGTTTGGCGACAGCCTTTGTAACTACATACAAACGCTCCAAAAAGGGAGTCAAATGAATGCCTTGTGCATGTGCATTGTCTGCTTTTACCAGATCCGACTTCCATAATCACTCGTGTTAACCCTCTATCAAGTCTCAAGAACTTTGGCAAAATTAACCCATCTGGGACACTGTAATTTCACCCCTATTGGCATCAAAGTTAGAGATAAAACAAGAAACAACCACACGAAATCACATGCTCTTTTACATAAATGAACCTTGGAAGGGGAAAGACGGAAAAACGAATGGAATGGAACATTGCTTCTAGGTTACGTTGAAACCACTCAACACCCCTTGCCATTGAAAGATGACATGCCCAAAATCGAAGAAACGCGAACAAGGTTCCTCGGGTGAATTCAAGGCATGATAATGAGAAACTAGAAGGAGAAGATCATATGGATATTCAGACAAGGACTTGTTGTTTACCAACGTAGCCACATGGTTTAGCGATTAGCGAACATGAGAACAAGAACTTCGCTAGGATATCCAGAAACTTAGTAGAGGAAGCCAGAGGAGAACTCGACTTTTAACTGGTACATTCACAAGCAATCCAAACATGACTTAGCATCTAATAAGTCACAGCAGAGTTGCAATTCAAGTTGGGGAGGGGGAGCTAATATGCCAGAACCAGAGGTGAAAATGCAAAACGAATCGCTAGGCATAAGCTTCTGGACTAACTCTTCAGATAATTCCCTGAGAAGAATACTCACCAGAAGCATTACAACAGGGAGAAATAAAAATGCATAGTTCGCATCATTGGTTCCATCTATCAATCAAAAGCAGAATTCCCCAACAGAACTAGTCATTTGGATCATGACCAACTGTTTGTAGCCTCTCCGCATACATGATATCAGCTCTATCTCCCTCTCATTCTGAGAAAAGACTGCAGAAAACTTATAAACACCGATTCAGACTAAATCATTTAGTTCCATAGTTGATAGGGCATACAACAATCTGCATCCATATAATAATATCCCTTCTCTGAACAGTTACAGTTCCCCTCAAAGTGGGGCTTTTAAAGTCTTCCCTGGAGTTAATGTACAGAAAGTAGAGTTCCGACTCTAAACAATAACTAAGTAGAGGAAACTCAAGCATAAAAGATTCCGCTCAACGTCCTCGAATTTCAAGAAATCAGAGATAGCCAGCATTATTGTTATCACCTGCAAGCTTTAAGATATGGCGGTTCGTCCCCCAGCGAGAACCCCCCCTCCGAACAAAAGCTCTGATATGCACAAGAACTCATCTCATCTCCAAGCTGCAGTTTAATGGAAATTATAATAGACCGAGGTCGATGAATTCCACCTTCCACAACACTTCAGAATTGGTGGTAGATGTTTGCCAAGAGTGACCATCACATGATGACCAACGTCTCAAGAGAAAAAGGATCAATAGAACGTACAGACTGGTACCAACAGTTTAATCAATACATGTAGGAGCCCACATGAAGGACGACACGAGTCGACAATACCCACCAGTCCCACTCATCCAACGTAGGCGTGCAGTCAATTACACGACAGAGAGCTCTCGATGAAGCCAATTTAAGCTCTAGTGGAAGTGCATATCCAATTGCTCCACTCAAAGCTTTCACCATCACTTACTAACAGGCAGCTAGGACAACATAGACCAACTAACACCTAAACCATACTCTAAACAGTAGTTACCCACAGATTACAGACACCACATTGCACAAGACACAGAAATAGGATCATCAAGAGTAAGAAAACAGCAAAATCAAAGAAAAAACTGCAACTACTACCCAAGTTCAATCATCCCCAGTTGGGAAGAGAGTGAGAACTTTCCTGCCACCGTTTGCATTAGCAGATTCCAAGTCCTCCGCATAAGGCTGCACCGGACTGTGCATCGGCGCTCCCATCCTATGAACCGGTGGCGCTTGCCTCGACAAGAAAGGATGCTCAAATTGCCCGTTCTGCGGCGGCCCGAAATGCCCCACCTGCCTGTGATACTGCGGTTGCAGCTGCGGGTGGCCGGCCGCGGCCGCCATCTGGTGGTGTTGCAGCGCGGCAACCGGCACAAACGGCAAGAAATGGTCCGAGCTGGGCCGGACCGGATGCAAGAAATGCGCCGGCACGGGCGAGCTCGCAAACAGATGATCGGTGGCAGGATCCGACGAGGCGGCCAGGCCGCCGCCCCCGCCCCCACCGCCCCCGCCCCCCACGGACAATCCCTGCATGCGCTTGAGGTACAGGCGGTACTTCTGCAAGTGGCTGGCCACATTCTCCCGGGTCAACCCATCCACACTCATCAGCTGCATGATGGTCTTGGGCACGGCGTTCTTGATCCCCAGGTGGGCGACCGCATCGACGAACCGCTTGTGGAGCTGCGGCGTCCAGACGAGGCGCGGCCGCTTGAGGGTGCGGGCCGGCTCGTCGCCACCGGAGCCGGGGCCAAGCTCGCTGGAGTCGGCGAACTCGGCCGAGCTGGGCTGGGTGGCGGAGCCCGGCGGGGGGAGGTGGTTGGAGGGGTTTGGCGGGGTGGTGGGCGGGTGGCGCTGGGGGCTGGTGGTGGAGGGGTGGCCGTGCGGAGGCGTTCTGATGTCGAAGGCGAGAGCAAGATCGGGGGTGATTAGGGTTTGAGAGAGGGGCGTGAGTTCTTCAGGGGACGGCAGCTCTTCTTCCCATTTGGAGAACCAATTCGAGTCCTCTTCCCTCATTCTTGGGTCGCTTCTCTCTCTTCTTTTCTCGCGAAATTTGAGGCACCCACTTCACAAATTGCGTCCTTGATCCAGAAAGACCGGCCTAATTCTACGCAAGGAGAAGATTTAGCGAAGATGTTGGCCAAGAAAAGACAGGAAAAAAAAATTGGGTTACCAAGAAAGAAGGAAATCTAACAAGACCAACAGGAGGGGGGGAACGAAAACAAGAAGAAGGAACCAAAGAGTTAACAAGAAAGCGAGAGCAAACAAGACTGGACTTCTTCCAAGAATCTCCGTCTCCGTCTCCCCCTCTATCTCTATCTCTCTCAAGGATTGGATGAGGGAGACAGAGACGTCGACGGCGGCGGGCGGCGGCGGCGGCGGGCGGCGGCGGCTGGGGGAGGAGGAGGGGGAGGAGGAGGAGGAGGGGGCGGAGAGAGAATCGAGGTGGATCTTGTATTCTTATGGTCAGCTTTTATTCAAGGGAGGAGTGAACTGTAGCCGATAGCTTTTGGTTCTTCACGACTCTGATTTTCTCGTGGGGCTTTCGTGTGTTTTTTTCTTCTCTCTCTTTTCTCTCAGCTCAATTCGTTCGCTGATTCGCTCGTATATATCATCATCATCATCATCATCATCATCATCGTATTCGTATTAAAACAGTCCAGTAGATTTCCTTCCCCCTGTCTTTCATTAATGTTTTCCCGGGATTTTGGGGGTCAAGTCGCAGCGCTCTTTAGAGCGAGTGCTGCAGAGGATCTCTCATCACAGGAGCTCAGCCGATCCAACACCACCACCAGCAACCACCCCATCCATCGCCAGTTCGTTCTCGCTTTTGCCTCTCGGCCGAAACAACAACACCAACATCATCATCAGCTCACGGACGCTGGTGGTCGCGTGGTCCAAGGCTTGGAGTATACAAGAATAAAAAAGACGGATTGGAATAGAAGGAAAAAACGTGTTGCCATATAAGGGAGCTGTTGTACCATGTCGTATCAGACATGTACACGCCGGGGGGAAAAAACGCACTTAGGGGACGTGGTCCTTTCCCTCGCCTTTTTCCCTCTCTCGTGTGCTGCTTTGCCTTACTTTCCCCTCTCTCGTTTGTTGGGCAAATATGGAAAGATTTTGCAATGCCCAACTCGGTTACTGTTTTCATGTACCAACCCTGTTTTTTTTTTCCATGTTACAAGCTTTTGGTATCTGGATTTTACCCTTGATGACCCGCTTTGCACCCTCGCGTCGGTTATGCTTTGCGGGCGTATTTGCGAGAGTATCGTCTGTTTACTTACCCCGAAATATCCCTGCCCAAGTCGTGAATTTCCCCACGCCTAAGCATGACCGTAGGGCCTTCGCCGTGGACGCCGGTGCCTCCTAGCTTGCCGTCTTCCGCCACAAGCCTCGGAGCAATTGCGTGCAGCCATCTGCTCACTGCGAGGCCCTCTCTCTCTCTCTCTCTCTCTCTCTCTCTCTCTCTCTCTCTCTCTCGGCCTCGATTGAGGTCGCGCCATTGCTGCTATTAGGGTGTGGGCGACATTAGATCGAGGCCACCCACGATGGCCCATGACCTAAGTGGACGTCGTGGGCCCGTCCGCCTCCGTGGGCAACAGTGCGACTTCCAAAAAATGTCGCGAGCCACAGCGAGGCTATGGACAACCTCGATGGTGGTCACCCATTGAGGTGGCGAGGCTTAACATCTTAGAGTTGGAAAAATTGTTCAAAAAGTCTTAAACTTATTATATTTTTGCCAATTTAGTATCAAATATTTTTAATGCTTGTCAATTGAGTCCATTCGGCTAATTTTGGCCGTAAATTGCTAAGGTGAATGTTGGCCGGCCTACGTGGCGCCGATGTGGATAATTTTCAATAATATTTTAATATTTTTCGATTTTCTATTTTTTTTCTTTTCCTTTTTCTTTTTTTTCCTCCCCTTCTTCCTCCTCTAGCCGGTCGCCGGGCCTCAGCAATCGGCCAAATGCGAGGGCTGACGAGGTCGACCTCGCCTACCTCGAGCAAGGCTAGCGACTAGCTGGAGGAGGAGGAAGGGGAGGAAAAAAAAAGAAAAAGAGAACAAGGAAAAATGAAAAAAAAAATCGAAAAATATTAAAATATTATTAAAAATTAACCACGTCAGCAATTTCCGTCCAAAACTGGCCGGATGGACTCAATTGGCTAAAAATAAAAAATGTTTAGGACTCAATCGGCAAAATTGAAAAGTTTAGAATTGAATTGGCAAAAATATTTTATGATTTTTTTTGTACAATTTTTCCTCATGGAGTTAGGCCACGAGCTGCCGACAGCCGTGACAACTTCCACGAATTTTGTGCACAGACAGCAATTACAGTGCAGAAAGGGAGAGAGAAGCATCGTGACCAGAAGTGGAGGAGGTTGGTCAGCGGCTGCAATAGCCATGGGGGGGTCCAATGGAAACAACGACTGGGGGTAAGGTGCGGGCCGACGGCGACAGACATTGGTCTGTGATGGAAGGGAGATGGGGGTGTCTTCTGTGGATTGAGTGGCCTTCATGTGAAAAGTGATGTGTGGTTTTTGGTACTTCCCTTACAAATACTGTTCTCAACATTACTCCTCTTGTCAAGTACTTTTTTTTTATTATCCCTTTTTCTTTCCTTTTTTTTTTTTTTTAACCTTTTTCTCCCCCCCCCCCCCTTTTTTTTCAAATCCCCTTTCTTTCCCAAACCCCCTGTCCCCAAAACCATCCCACCACCTCTCTCTCTCTCTCAACACCCACTTGATCAGCTCACACCCACGGCCAAGCACAGCCTCTCTACCGCGACCTTTAGAGACTGTTGTGATGGTCGTCGCGCCTGTTCAAGGCCCCGCGCCGTGGCCGAGTTCTCTTACAGAGGCTCGGTTGGGCGCGACTCTTATAAGCTCAAGGCCAAGCTCACATGGACTTGGCAACTGGGAGCTTGACTCGAGCTCGCATGACTACTCCATTGTGATCCATGAGCAAGCTCGACTCTTATAAGCTCAAGGCCAAGCTCACATGGACTAGGCAATTGCGAGCTCAAGTCGAGCTCGCATGACTACTCCATTGTGATCCATGACCTAGCTCGCACAAGCATAGAAAGGGGCGTAGGGAGAGGTCCAGGGGTCGAGTTGCTAAGAGTGAGGTCGGGTTTCTTAGGTAGGGTCGGCGTCGAGTGGTGGCTGGGTTGATATTGTGCTATGTGAGGGGGATGAGAGAGAGAGAGAGAGAGAGAGAGAGGGGTCCTTTTACAGAAGGACAGTATCGGACAAAAATTTAAAAGTTTAGAGTTGATTGAACTAACAGTGAAATAATTGCCAAAAGACGCAAATACTCGCTTCAAGAGACAGCCAGACATGAGAGGAAGTTTAAGTATGATTGTTTCAACATCTTGGCCACACAAACAAAGTACGTTAATAAACTCTTAACCTTTTACACTATGCTTGTCACACTCATAGGAGGGAAGTAAAAGGGGCTCTAAAAATACAATCGGACTTGGATAGAGGAAAACAAATGAAGAGAAATGATTAGGAGAGACTATGAGAGATTTGGTCCTGAGCAAGACCTTAAAAGGCTCAAGAAGAGACGGGGGAAGGGACTCATTGATATGATGGAGGGATCTCCCTGTAAATTCTCTCCATATTTTCTCTCTCCATAAAAGAAAAAGATTTGGAGGGCTTTTGGGTGGTGAAGGTAAATACAACGTCAACTTCGTTTGGCTACCTCCAGATAGGGCTGGTATAGTAGCCTCCCGCCTAGGATGATAAAGGTGATTAGGAAAGATTAGGAGAGATTAAGAGGGATTGGTCCAATCAATTTTATGTACATTTTACATCCTTCCGAATCTCTCTAAATGTAGAGGGATTTGTGCATTAATGAACTATCTATTCCTCTTTGTCACTGTGTCCTTATCATACATCCATTGATAAGTACATAAAAGGATATTTATGTTCAAATGCAAAATTTTCCTTTCTTTACCCTATTTAGCATCCAAACAATATTAGAGCCCAATCCCTTCAAATCATTTCCCATCCTTTTCCTCGTAATTCCTTTTCTTTCCTAATCACTCCATCCGAACTGAGTAGTAGCGTCCGTTAGTAAATTACTCGATAAGAAAAATATCCGAACCTCTCGTTTTCCTAGATACGCTCGCCCCGTGTCATCGCAAGCCAAGTCAGTCTCAATCATCTAATGTGGTGGACCTCACATGGATTGAGTTCCAAGTATGATTACGCATTGTTTATAAGTGGGGTCAATGCTAGAATTTCTTTCTAATGATTGACTCTTACTTGTAGGAAATATTTTTTTTGCCGAAGTTCGAGATCTCTTGACCTTTTCGCTCTCGTTTTTCCAACGCAAGCCATCCCTTTTCCATGGATTACAAGTTCTTCTTAACCATTTTCGAACGAAGTCGTCCTGGTCTTCTTCCCTGTCCGTCTCATCGCTTTCGAAAGACTTCACAAACTCGCAGATCATTTCTGACAAACCGAGCGTGAATTGAAAAGGACATACTATTTTATCTATTTGAGGACTCGTTATTTAAATATCCAGACACCTTAAATTGACCTAAACCTAGAATTTCGAAAGCGATTGCTTCCGCATGATCGGTACGATTATGTTTTTGTTAATATAGCCTTGATCGGGACTCGGAATCGGAATAAAATAAAAAGGGGTTTGCTTTAGAATAACCGAATTTAAGTTCTGACATGATATGAGTGACCCGAAATACGTTTTAATAAATTTATGCGATCAAGTTGAAACTTTTTTAAATGACGTGGTAGTCGACATTAATATGATGGCACGACCCTGGATTTTCAGCCCTTTTGTTAATATCGAGAATGCATAAAATTTACATTTTTCAAAAGCTGGCCTGCTTTTGATGTATGTTTACGAATAAAATTTTTGGCAAAATGACTTACCAACCGAAATAAGAAATCGTCATTTAAAAAACCGAAACTCAAACCGAGAGAAGGTAACGGTTAATAGAGTGATTGACTCTAGGGTGGGTATGTTCCAAATTAAGAACCTGAAATTTACCGTGTCAGACCGGTTCTCAATTTTTGGAATTGAGAATCGAACCGGTCGATTATGGAACCGGGCGATTTGGCTCCAGGCCAATTCTAGGATGGACTCGAGAGCCGGGCCAACTTCTTCTTATTGTTTTTCTTTTCCCGTTTCGATTTTTTACTCAATAAGAAGAAATCTGCAATCACGAGGATAACGAGTCCTGTCATTGCACCTTAACCCGTCCTCGACATCGTTGTCAACTAACAAGTTCTTGCCCTTTTCTTGCTGTCTATCTTGGACTCTCTCTCTCTCTCTCTCTCTCTCTCTCTCTCTCTCTCTCTCCCAATTGCTGAGCCTCTTCTTTGATCCGATCGCGAACGACCCATTTGATTCTTGATGTTCAAGAGAATCAGTTCTTGGACGAACTTGATGCTTCTGATATCTGCCAAAACTCTGAAGCTCTCAGATTTTTCTTTTCTGCCTTGCATTGCAGAGAGAGAGAGAGAGAGAGAGCGACCGGGCTACTACTAATCGAGATTAGGGGATGATGATTGGACGTGATGAATAAAAATAATCTGAAGCATTTCGAATAAATTGCGGGAATTACAGCCAAGAAAAACACAACAAAAACAAAATACCATATAATTTTCGCGAAAACTATATTAGGCAAAATGGGCTAGTGGGAATCTGCTGAGTTTGGTGTTAGGTATGGGAGATGGCATTATTCTTATCACACACTAATTTTTTCAAATTAATTTCTTGTGGATGATGTACTGTACTGGCCTGCCCTAGGGAAGAATATCTTGAGCAGCCAACCTGTCCTAATGTCTTAACCCACCTCTTCCTTTTGCCTTCGATTTTTCAATAATTTTGGAGGTGAAGATAAACATGGGAGGATAGTGGAGATTTGACTCCCGAACCCCTTAAAAGAAAAAGGGGGGGTTTCTTCTAATCTTTTCTTTTCTTGTTTTGTTCTTTCTTTCCTTTTCTTTTGTAGTGACGTTAACGTGTGGGGGGGGCTTCTTAATGCAGATATAATATCACATCCGCCATTCCATGATCTGACAAGATGGCACAAATCAGATTCCCCCTCACAACCCACTTCCCTTCCCTAAACCTAGAAATTGCGGCAGCATCATGGTCCTGTTCTTTGTTTTGTTTGGAGGTTCAGAGCAAATCTCCATGTTTATGCCATGGTTAAAAGAAACTCTCCTCTTTTATTTTTTTTGTTATGTCTCGTCTCGTCTCCTGCTGCTATGCCATAAAGGTTATTTAGGTAATTTAATTCCCTTCCGTGAGGACGCGAGCTCGCGGGCGCCGCGTGTTTTTAGCCAACGTGGATGGGCGCGGGATGCCGACCCAAATTGGGGCGGTTTTTTCCCCAGCCAAAAGAGGGAGGCGAGGGAAATGGCGAGGCACGGGGTAGGGCGGGGGCGTTAGTAGCCCCCGGCCTTGCCCCGTCTTATGCATTAAAATTACGAGTTTCATTATTAAAGTATATTTTTTTTATATGTGGATCGATTCCTTTCAAATTTACATTATGTCATATATTACAACAAATATAAAATCTTAGCGAAATAATTCGAAGAGTGTACAATTTGATAATCACTTCTTTCTATAATCAACTTAACTTAGATATGAAAATATAATTGTGAAAATTAAATTCTAAGTGTAGCTATTAAAATAGACCCATTGCACAAAAATCATCAATTAACTTGACTGTTAACGATAGTTGTAATGATCTTTGTGAATTTGATGTATCTAAAACCTACATTCTTTCCCCGATACATCAGTTTTTTTTTTTTTGGTCGAACCCGATACATCAGTTAACACCGTCAAATTAGTAGAATAGAATTATTTTCTAAGTCTATTTGCGTATGTCTATTTATAATTTGACAAAATAATTTGGGAGAACCAATAAAAAAACCTTAGCAAAATAATGTGATAAATTATTTAAAAAATCTTAGCACAACAATGTACAATTAGAGTTACTTGATAATCGACTCTTTCTATAAACAATTTAAATATGAGGAAAACATCTGTTTAAAGTAAATTCTAAATTTAGCCATCAAACTAGACTTAATGCGTAGAAATCATTAGTCAACTTCACTGCTAATTATAGTTATAATTTTCTTTTGTAATTTAACAGACTTAATGTGGAGATAATCATTAATCAACTTCACTGCTAATGATAGTTATAATGTTCTTTTGTAATTTAATGCGTGTAAAAAAAAACTTTTTCAATTAGTATGAATCATTTTCTAAGTCCCTTTATGTATTTATAACTTGAAAAAATCATTTTGTGAACAAATAAAACAACCATAAGTAAATAATATGAAGAATTATTTGAACAATCTCGGCAAAAAAATGTACAATTACTTGATAATCAACCTTTTTTTTTGTCTATTATCAACTTAAGTATGAAAAAAACAAGTTTTAAAAGTAAATTCCAAGTCGAGCAAAGCTAAAATAAACTCGATATCTAAAAGTGATTAGTTGATTTTGTGATTGCATTTATAATTCTCTTTTGTAAGTAAAATGTTTATGAAACCTACATTTGTCCCCGGGTGGTTTATTGCGTTAGTTGACGTGGTCAAATTAGTACAACTATATTTCAAGTGTTATTTGCATATATCTATCTATGATTTGAAAATAGAATCATTGGGAAGAACAAATTAAAGAATCTTAGCACAACAATGTACAAATTAAGTTACTAGACAATCATCTCTTCTTTTCTAAACAACTTAAACACGAAAAGCCATCTGCTAAAACGAAAGTAAAATGTGAGTAAAATCGACTTAGGAATTATGATCGATATCTGAAACGAAAAAATAAAAAAATAGCTTTATTCTAGGAGAACAAAGAAAACCTGGCCCACCAAAACCTGGCTGACCAGACCAGACCAGACCCGATCCGATCCGACCGGACCGATCTGAATACGTGGGCCCCACCTTCCTCCTACCTCGTCCGCTCTAACAACCTAGCTCCAGAACTTATGGACAGAACGCCAGAACATCAAAACCTCCCATCACTTTTTTTTTCCAAATTAGGGAAGGAGATGGATAATCCATAGATTATGAAAAATATATATTGATTTACTTTGGAGAGGCATATTACAAAAATTACTACTTGTTAGCCGATATTGTCGTAATGCCGGCTTGGGACTATGATCGCGATCGTTAAGGGGTATAATTGAGTCCACCTACTCATATATATTATCGAATTGCCGCTTAGTAACTTGAGTATCGAATCGAGCCGAGCGTGAACTTGAAAATATCAAGCTTCGATAACTCGTATATCTAATTAAATAGAAGACAATGCCCCCTTAATCTCATTAAGTGAACATTTCTTTAGTCTAATTTTAGAATTACTAAAACAGTCGAGATTATTATTTTATTTTTTTTGGGTATTGAAAGGGGCGAAGCACAAATGTTACATCAGAACCCGCCTAACAAAACTAGATCCAACCATCTGCTATCAATAATGGAATCAAACTTCTCGATGGCCCATCTAAATATAAAAAGTCATTTGCATCGCAAGAGGGAATGACCTAGTTTGCTAACCAATCAGAACATGAGTTGCCTTTCCTAAAATTGCACAGAACCCAGACATGCTGGAAATAAAAAGGTATTGAGTTCCGGTTAAATGTTAAATATCAATTTGTTAAGGGTAAGAATTAAAGTAAAAAGCTTTAACAAAGTTCATCCCAAATTTCTTTTTGGATTAGCTGAATTAAGAAATACATCGTTGCATGTATACTAAAAGTTGACCCTTTTACAAGCATTTACTTAAAATAATGGGCAGATCACAAAACTATAAACATCAAGCTGTTGCATATATTACGTTACTGTCTGTTATGTGCTGTCTCATTAATTTGCTAGAAAAAAAATATTTTTTTCATATGATTACAGTTTATTGATGTCAAGGACGTAGATATTGCAATTAAGAAAATAAAATCAGCTTTAGCATTTTCGTATAATTTATGAATTAGTATTTCATTTCGTTTAATATAAAGGGGAGATCGTTATGAGTGATTCAAAACGATGCGGCGTTTGAACTAATGTTCGCAACTACCCTGTTAGTTTGCAAATGGAAAATCAAAATCAAAGGACACCTTACATTCGGTAGAGTGCAAAACAAGCATCAAGCATCCAAACGCATGGCCTTCGACCAACCAATATTCCCATTTTCCAGACAGTGAACAGAGGTCTAATTTAGAGCAGTAACTCAGGACATGATGCACATGGATCCGACCAAAGAATAGAAGTAAAACAAACAGAACTTCAGGCAGAAGGCCTTCTCACAAGTTGTCAGGGATTCAAAGCGTATAAATAATCGATTTTCAGCCAAAGACTCAAGGATGAGAATGCCAACACAGAGAATAAGATGCATTAGCCAGATACGAGACCAGTTTGATCCAGTAAATACCTCAGTTTGGATCTCATTTATGTCTGGATAAAACAAGCCTTTGAAATTGAGTCGAAAGCTCTTCGTAACACTCGACCACCGATGGGCGCACTTGATTTATTGCGTTCCTGAAATGCTTCATTGCTACTTCCAAAGCGTCAATGTCCTCCTGATAGCATCAAAATTCATAGTAAAGCAAATCATTCAATACAACGACATCCCAGATGGAAGATTAAAAAAAAAAAGCAAAGAAATTATAGACCTCCATAGCTGCAACGGCAGCCTCCCGGCAGATGAGTGATATGTCAGCCCCCGTACAGCCTTTGGTGAGATAAGCCAACTCCTTTATGTCCACATCAGAACCGCATGGGACTTTACGTAGATGGATGCAGAATATTTCTTGCCTATCTGCCTCATTCGGAGGTCCGACATATAGCAGCCTATCAAAGCGTCCTGTTGAATTACATTATATGTTAATATCCAACTTTGATGGTCACAAATGAGGTCATAAAACCCTGGAACTTGAACACAAGAAAGCTGAGTTTTGCATGGAGAGAGAGAGAGAGAGAGAGAGAGAGAGAGAGAGAGAGAGGGAGAGAGAACCTGTTCTTAACAGGGCTGGATCGATATTATCTGGCCTATTGGTTGCAGCAATAATGGTGACATCAACTCTCTGATGCAGTCCTATGCTCCAAAAAGACGTTACGCCGTTACTAAAACAACTAAAACAAAGTAAATACTAAATAAAAAGCTTTTAAAAAATAGTGATTATCGCAGACCAATTTGAAGCAATTAGGGCCACAGCAGTAAGAATATGCTCATTGACAAACATTTGAAAATTTGTCTCTCTAAATCTATCTTTTCATGACAAAAGCCAAATTAAAAAATAGTTTATTGCATCACCAGAAGAAGTAAACTCCTTACCATCTAGTTCAATAAGAAGCTGACTTATAACTCTATCCGAAACTGAAACACCATCACTTTCCTTTCCACGAATATTTGCAAGTCCATCAATTTCGTCGAAAAATATGATTGATGGAGCATTAGCCCTTGCTTTTGCAAAGACAGATCTTACAGCCTTCTCAGATTCGCCAACCCACTTATTGAAGAGTTCCGGGCCCTTTACTGCAATGAAATTGAGCCCAGCTTCAGAGGCAACTGCACGAGCCATGAGGGTTTTGCTGCAACCAGGAGGACCAAACAATAATACACCTCTTGGAGGGCAGGCCCCTATGCGTTCTAATGCAGCACGATGTTTTTGAGGCCACTCCACTGCTTCCATTAGTTGAGTTTTAACTTCTCCTTGCCCACCAATATCTTCCCATTTGACCTTTGGTACCTCGAGTATCACCTAAAGGTTAAAACAGAGATGGAGAACACAGATAAGTAGGTTGTCCTGTGTCTATCTATTCTGATCCACCAACAAGAAGGCCTTATGACAGACTTCTCAAAATCAAGTCATATATCATATATTCTGAACAAGGATATACATAATACAAGGAAATTATCTTATTCTAGTAGACCTGCAGTCTTCATATGGAATACTTTGCATCACTCACAAACAATCTAGCCCCATCAGTTCATAGTCTATACCCATCCGCACTGAATCAAATTAAAAATCACCTTATGTAGAAGGTTAATCATCTATTTATAATGATTGTATGGAAGAAATCAATCAGTCAAAAAAGAGAAGCAATTTCAGATGCAACTTGAAAGGACGCTCTTATTCAATTTGCTCCATTATTTTCAAAAAACTCCTGCACTAAGGTTCACCTATCGAAGATGATCTGGATTCATACATGGTGAGGATTCCAGTCCTTGATAGCTGAAAAAGAAGCTAAACAACAAGAGAAAGAAGGCAACCATTCTTTAGCAGAATGTCCATTGATACCAATCCTACATATAGTACCTAGATCTCCATAACATTTTTTGTCCAATCAATTTATCCACAGCAGACATGATGAGTCCCCAACTAGGATTTCCCATATCAACGTTTGAACTAAAGGACATGAAGTACAACTTTTTTTTTTTTGGCTTGGCATACCGTAAATTCAACTTAAGTAAGAAAGGATTGAGCTTATACAAAATGTAGTCAACAAAATCCAAATCGTCCAGGCAGTCTACGTACCGTATGGGTACAGTTGCATAAACAACATCATACCATAACATTCAACAAACTGATTTATCCATATAGAACACTGGAGTCGTAACCAAATGCTTCTCAATCAAAATAAGACTCAATGCCAAAGATGCAACAATCATACCTACCTCTCTCATGGCACTAGGCCTCACTTTCATTCTGGCCTTCTCAAAGTCCTCAAAAGCTATGGTCAGCATACGATTTTTGTCCACTAAACCTCTAGAGCACCGCATCCTATCTTCATTTTCTGTGACAGTTTGCTCGGACAAGGAAGATGGTAATGCGTCCGAGGAAACATGTAATGTGGACAAAGAACGTGAATAATCCTGCTGAGAATCTCTTATGTCTCCCAAAGAACTAGATTCTTCTGTTGCAACATTAGCATTAAACTCAGAATCCATCTGTGATTTAGAATAAGACTCTCCCTGTGACTTCTTAAAACAATTATAGCGCCTGAGGCATACCAACGCCGCTTCATTGCAAAGGGCTGCCAGATCACCACCCACAAAACCATGTGTAGACATTGCCAGTTGTTGAATTTGCAATTCCGAGAGTGAATGTTCCATTAGACTGAGAAGTGCGAATAGTATTTCAAATCTTTGCTTGGAAGATGGGACACCTGCATGCAGGAATTACAGAAAAAAAATGTTTTAGTGGAACCTATTTACCTTTTAATTAAGTGACCAATCTATCCTTGCATTGTTCATGTACGACTCTCTTGGGGTTATTGATGAAGCTGGTCATTGGGAAATTGGGAATACAGTGGACTCAGACTTTCTCTATGATGGTGCTTGGAATAGCTGCGGGACAGCAGCTACAACTTTCAAAAAGGGTGCTTAAACCTCAAAAAGGTGTTTGATCAATATTTCAGAGCTGTAGCGTCTAATGACTATTTTTAAGGAAACTGCTCCACTTGCTGCTGCTACTTCAAGATGCTGCGGCTTCATCTAATGTTGTACCAAAAGCACTGATTATATGCAGCTAACCGCACATCATAGCACAGTTAAGACATAGTATGGTTACAGAAATAATAAATGGAATCATGTAAAGAATGAGAAAACTTATTTTAACCCTCCCTCTAATAATTTTTGTTGAAAATTTGGAGGGAACGAATAAGAGGATCTTTTATGAAAAGCAAAATTTTTTTGTTAAAGTAGGGACTTTTGGTTTTACATTGTACTTGGGGTTTAGGAATCACACTTCTTTCACCCTTCTAGAATTTTAGAGCCATTAGTACCCCTTTTCTTTTTTCTTTTTTTGGTCATAAGTATCACTTTTCTTGTAGATAAGGGTTCGTATAGATTAGTGCCCTCATGCTGTATTGACAAAACCTTTTTGACCAATTAAAAAAGGGTCTATGTTATTTATTATCAGTAGTAATATATGACTGATCAAGATTTCAATCTGGTCAAGTGTTTATTAATCCCAAAAATAGGTCAACGGAGCTAAGCTGATTTCAAAACCAGCTTAAAATGGCTTGGTGCTGAAGCCCAAATCATAACTTCCCATTCCCCTTCTATACAACCAGCGCTGGAAAATAGAAAATAAAGAAACAAAGGTCATATGGCCCGACAAAACAAATAAAGGTCATGGAAATGTGTTCAGTTTCCAATTCCACATTGCTTATCCAACATATCATACACTATGTGCCTCCAAATACCCCAGTCCCCAACCCCGAGTAGCCAAAGAGAAAAGGAAAAGACCAGTTAATTCCACTCCAATTGTTCTAAATAGACAAATTGACATTGTGTGCATAAAAACGAGTGCTTGGGTGAACAAAAGTCACTAGAATCTTTAAGTTACGGGAATGAAGTACCTATCTCAATTTCCCTTTCAAACCGACCAGGACGCCTTAAGGCAGGCTCAATACTTTCTGGTCTGTTTGTTGCAGCAATTACGAGGAGTCCACCGGTTCCATTAATCCCATCCATTAAAGTCAACAATGTACCAACCATTCTATGAGAAAGTTCTTCCCCTCCATCTTTTCGAGCAGGTGCAATAGCATCCAACTCATCTATGAAAACCTGCGTAAGACAACATTTGCAGAGAAAGGCATAACTCAATCGAAACAAAATATAAATATAACTGATGTAATTAAATCAGAAAATTTAGTTTTGAAAATTCAATTTTGGTTGAGAAGTTAACAGAGCTATCATAGTGCCTCACTGTTTCCCAAAAAGGCATTTATTCCCTTTGTCCTTAAGCTTCCTTGAAGTTACATGAAAATCCACAGGATACAGGAATATTTAAAAGCACGTGTTCATGCAGGAAATACTGATTGTTAACATCATTTTAGCAGTAGGCATGCTCAATTAAGTTCAATAGTTGATTGCAATGCAAACTACAACAGTACGTATTATGCAGGTTTGCAAGGCAAAACATAAAAAAGAATAGATGAGGGAAAAGAAACTGGAAGTTTGAAGAAGCCTCACCACAGCAGAGACAGCATGGCGAGCAGAATCGAAAACTTCTCGCAAGGCCTGCTCACTTTCACCATGATACTGTCTCACAATTTCAGGTCCATTCACCAAGAATAAATTAACGCCAGCGTCGTGGGCACATAGTCGAGCCAAAGATGTCTTCCCTGTACCCGGTGGACCATGAAGAAGTACTCCTTTTGTAGTTTGGAGATCAAACCTTATTACATAACAACATGATGGTGTGTCAGATAGAATTCTTATCTAAATTAAGCTGAAATTCAAATATGCCTGACAAAAGTGAGAGAAGGCATAACAATATGTTTCATCCAAAATGTTTCGGGTCTTTCTAATACATGTTACCAATTGGTGGATATAACAATAGAGCTCTTCCACAAAAGCATTAACTGACTAATAAAATACTCAATTTCTACACAAGTTAAAACTACATAATATACTGCTCATTATATCGCTGAACATTAGAAAAATATGAGAAGGGGCATTCTCTAAATGTTTAACCTAAAAGATAGCTGCAGATGTAAAAGGCTGGAGCAAAGATATACAGCTGCAGCTCCACCAAGTGTTGGGAGTTAAAAAGTACAATACCTTGATAAAGTGTCCTTCAAAGTAGAGGACATAATGTCCATCAAATCAGTATACTCTTTATGTAGTCCACCCAATTTAATGTCATCACCTTTGATGTCAGCTTTACAATATGTATGCTCAAGCTTCCCAACAAGTGATCCTGTCACTGCTGGAGTTACTAATGTTGTGTTCATGGGAGAAGACAGATGTATGTTTGTTCTGCTTGTCACAGTGAAAGCATGAATCACATTGTCTGGCAATTGGGAAATGTTGGGGGATGAACCTTCAGCAATTTGATATTTAATGGATTGATTCTTTCCATCAGACGCTTGTTGAGCACCAATCACTCGGAAAAGCCAAAGCTTAGAAAGTATGGGGACAACCACCAGGTTCCCTTGAAGCAGAAAACGAGAACACAGCCATGATTTGGTGCAAGCCTGCAAAAGGTTCTTGGTGCTTTCATCTTCCAACAGCTGGACAATATCATATGAATCAACCACTGGACACATCTGACTGGTTGAACTTGATTGTGAGAATGGTGAACGAAATTGATCATTTGCAGGAGTGCTCATCTTTGACTGACGTACCGGCGTCCTAGGAGATCCAAAAGTTACATTTTCATTAAGAGGTATCTCACCAGGAGGTTTCACTAGAGACAGTGCCCTTCTATTTGTTGTGAACTCATTTCTAGAAGCCAGCTCCAAGCACAATTCCTCACAGTTCTGCATTGCGAATGAGCAAAGACTGTTGTGCTGCAATTTGTCAATCCCATTGACCAGACCACCAGAGATCCAACTCTGTACGGGAAAGACAAACAGAACTCTACCTGAAGTGGGACACCCCATCGTATATGAAAGATTTAATGATAACCGCACTCCATTCCTAAGAACCTGATAGGAATAATGGAGGAGTCAAACAATATGTAGTTGACCGATATCCGACCTCTGTATGGGCAACAAGGCAGCTATTAAGAATTGAATCTTCCAACGCCACCAAAAATAAATAAATAAATAAAAAGAAAATAACTGGACGACCTACTAAATAGCTGAAAGACAGATTCCATATTCCATGAGTGAAAATGCTAATTTTTTTGCAAAAAAGTTATTATCTTAAAATCCAAAAAGTTTGATTCAAAAACTCAATATTTCAGGATATCATCTCCATATTCACCAGAATAATGAAGAGGACTTTAAAGGGACGAGGCACTTTATCAAGCTCAATTGATAGCAATTCCATTCCACATGTCAATTCGGCATGCTCCTCAAGACCCTACAAAGTCTTTTTCACTGTTTCAAGATGATTGTGATGACTTGAGTTTACGAGGAATGACAGGATTCAAGCTGAACTCTGTCGTTGAAGGAAGACTCCAAACGATATGGCAGAGGACATGCCCTAATTAACCAAAAGGCCTCAGAATGGCATTGCTGACACATTCAAATGCGTTTTACCATCAAGGGTAACATCTTTCACATTCAGTAGATGCTTACCAGTTTCTGTCTTTCCTGACTTTCACATGGGGTATGGATTTCACATCAAGTTCAAATTCATAAAGATAATATTCCTCTATTTCTTGGATCATGGTAAAAGTCGTCCAAATAAAAAACCAGAAAAAAAGAAAAAAAACCAGAGATATTAAGCCTATATTTATCACACCGAAGTTATCCATGCTTTTGAGCAATTGAACAACCATTAATGCAGAAAATTCTTTCCTCGACCTAATAAAAATGCTTTCATGCCCTTTTTCGAAGACCCAAAATCACACAGATGTTATAAAGAGGCTTAGCTTAGACATGATTTGTAGTGTTTCACCATTAACGCATCACCACTTGTACTTTTCCTCTGCCTTCCCCTTATATATCAAGAAGTATTTCAATCCTTAAATCAGATTTTCTAGGAGAACAGATGATATTGTAATTTAAGTTGCACTCGAACCTTAGAAGAAGGAAACACAGTGGCAAGAGCAAAGAAATCCCCAGCTTCATTTGTCATTTTATCCCCGGGGTTCATCCCGATATGTCTAGCACATTCATCAGCAAATGAGCATAAGGGGATACCAAGTGAAATTTGACTCCTTGAAGAAGCAAGGCACACCTGTTATGCAAAGATATGGAAACATCAGCAACAAAAGATTACGGGACAATAAAATTCTGATAAAGAAAAAAAGAAAAATAAGAAACATACATGATGTTATAAACCAGAGCAGAGCAATCAAGGAAGGAAATCACATAAAGGCTTTGTTTGGGAGAGAAGGGAGGGTGAGATAATGAGAATTTTCCTAACCATCCTAAATTTGGAGGGAATTTTAAAAGCTTTTCTAACCATCCTATTTTCCTTCCCCCTCTCTCTCCCAAACAAAGCCAAAGGGATCATAAGACATGCTAACTGAAGAGAAGGTGGGAAAACACGAACTGGCTTTGTGGCCTTGAGATTATTTCCACGTAAATAGCAAATCTCATTACCTTTCTTGTGTCCACTGACCTCCGACATCATTACCATGTGCTAGCCACAAAACCATTTTCTTATCGATGTACAGCAATGACACAAACTCGATTGCCTACATTCATATTCAAACTGTGAAAAAAGCAGGGCAGAATGTGCTTGGCGTGAAGTAAATAGGGCTGTTCTCCATGTACAGGAGGACGGATTTCCATTCTGCATTCCAACAACTACGACAGACATCAATAGCAGTCGGTAAGCCCACTTCTGTAGTCTTTGTAGTCATCTTATTCTCTATTAGATGTTATGGGGTGGGTTGAGTTCAAGACCAAGGGCAAGATTCGAGCTAACACTATTCAACAGAAAAGGGTTGCACATAAATCCCGAAATAGCCGATTAAGTGGATGAAATGTCCATATCTGACATCACACAAATTATGCAACATCGCATAAGCAAATTTCCACTCTTGGACGTTTTGGGTCGGCAAGACTTCAAGACCAAGAACTATGTTCCTGATAATCCGCTTCGTCAGAACATGATTCCACCGCAATTCTAAAACAGCCGAGTATGGGGAACAAAAATTCATATCTGATTAATCCTTAGATAAAATTCAGGCACAGGGCATGTATCAAAATCTACCAACGCAATCGACGCTAATAACTCCAATGGGGGTCACTTACCGACACGATCGAACCGGGCGCGATGGCGGAAGCGACCATGGAAGCCTCCGAGAGCCAAACCTTACAGCCTCCTTTGGCCTCCGCGTCCGCCCACGCGTCCGAGACACGGCCGGCGAAGGCGGACTCGCCGATCAGGCCCGGGAACCTGGCGGAAGCCGCCCGGAGGGCGACGGGGATATCGTCTTCGGCGACGGCTTCCGAGCCCACGAGAGGAGGGGAGGAGGAGGAGGAGGCGGCCGCCGGAGAGGGCGTCCGGGGAGACGCGCAAGGGTCGGACGAGCCCGGCGGCTTCTTCTTGCTCGAGGGCTTCTTCTTGCTCGAAGGCATCGGTGGGGAGGGCGGGGCGAATCCAAAGACGCGACCTTTCTTCAGCTTGCTTGAAAGTATGGAGAGAGAGAGAGAGAGAGAGACTAAAACCCTTGCGAGTAAGGGGAAGGGTTTTGGACAGTGGCGCGAAGACGAAGGGAACCGGATCCGACCGACGGGTCGGGGCAGGAGAATCCGAATAAGATCGGGTCTCTGGACCTGGGTCCTGGGTCGGGTTTGGATTTGGGTTTGGGTTCCGCATCATCCGATATAATTCATTTTTTGAGTTATTCAATTATGCGCTTTCAGTTGTTCGACTTTTTGTCCTAGTAATTTATTTTCGGAATACTTTTTTCTAGAGAAGGTGGATTATTTACTTAGTTTTAGAAGTTGTGCAAATTTCCGTGGGTCTTTTTCCTAATTAATTTCGAAGGTTCATCATTTAGATATCGAAAAAACTATTCTTTTACGCCAATTTGGGTCACCATTTGACGGGTGTTGCTCCAACTTTTTTCTCAACCCGATTTCAATTCAATTCTCAAATTGATTAAGGAAATTATTCTTTTATTTCAACACTTTTGCAATAACTGGATTCACCATTTATCCAAAACACTGCTTTTAGGGTTCACCATTTATTTCAACTCGACCCATTTCAATTCCCATTCTGACACAGGTTCTTTAATTTCAACACTTCTTCATAATCAAGTCCATGTGATGACCCATCTAAGTAGAGAGAGAGATCTTCATTTCCTTCGACATCGAATCCGACCAAATTCAATTGGCGTGGCCATTCGAATAACCGGCAAAGCACGACGAAGAAGAAATATTTTCATTTTGCTAAACTTCTTGGTGCAATATTGAATTGAAAACTCCATATATTTTTGGTTCCCAATTATACAGCAGCGACATCCAACGAATTGAACCAATCCAATCAAACAGAAGTCACAAATCTGTGACCGGTTAAAAAAAAAAAAGAAACAAAGGGAGTCAATAATAGTCACAAAATGTTTTCTCTGGCCGAGAACAAACTCAAAAGCTGTGTGAACTCGTCTCTCGTCTCCTTCCCTTTCGTCCCTCCCTCATGAAGAAGAAGACGACGTCGACGACGACGTCGAAGATGACAGACCACCGCCTTCGCAAAGCAGAGCTTTGGCCGGTGGGATCAGAGCCACGCCATCCCTCTGAGGGTTCGAGTACTTCTTGTACACCACCTGCAGCTTGTTCTCCTTAGCCTTCCCGTGATACCCCACCAACAACTTCGCACAATCCCTGTTCGTCCAAATGCCACTAGTTTAGTTTTATCATCATCAAGAGAAGGAAGGGCTCGTGTTATATTAAGGGGGTACACCCCTTTGATTCAAAGGCTTTTTTTACCTGAGCTGTGATTCGGAGAAACCGGTGTGAAGCTTGAGCGTGTCGTTCCAATGCGGGGTCAGGCCGAGGGTGAGCCGCGCCGCGTACACCGCCGACGCCGCCACCATGGAGGGGCAGTACGTGAGCGTCGCGTAGTTCATCACCCCGAGCTCGGCTAGGAAGTACACCATGTTCTCCAACTGCATGACCAAATGCCACGAGGACAAAAATATGTTCAGATTTTTAGCAACATACAAGGACCAATATATATGAAAAGAAAGGAGTAAAGGAACGGACTTTGCGATCCCCAAGCGACGCCTTGATGAATCGAACGAGGAAGACGTAGTGGGTGGGCACGGTGAGCGTCCACTCCAGCTTCCCCAGTATCGTCTTCTCCATGGCCAGCACTTGCTCGTGGCTGTACGCTCTGTCCGCGATGCACACCAGATCATTCACCTCAGGAGCCCAGATCTCTTCGTACTTGGAGGCTGTGAAGAGAGCGCCCATGCCCAGCAGCTGGAGCTCCCGCCTCGGGACCGCCTTCACCGAGAGGAAGCGGTCAATGATGTTGATGGTGAGGTAGAGGGTCTCGGGCATGAGCTCGAACTTGTTGTGGATCTCGATCAGCCAGTCCACCAGGATCGCCCTCATCTTCTCGTTTATCTCCGGCTGCGACGACATGTAGTCGCGGGGCAGGCTTTCATTCTGGCGTTCCAGAAAGGGGTTTGGACAACATCATCAGCCAAAAGAAACAATATTTGATAGCCAGGCATTCTTTACGTTCTTAAAAGCGAACACATTTGAGTGTACCTCTGCCTCCTTGTAGAAAGTGTAGATATCTTCGATATATTCAAATGCAGCCAACTCGTTGTGGGCGTCACCCGCGTCGATGTCCACAATTTGCTCTTTGGGTTTGTTGGTCAACCCACAAGCTGCCTGCTTGGGAAATAGAATTTAATCTGTAAATTTTTGCGATTATTTTTATTGATGGACTTATGCTTGAGAGAACAGAGTAAATTGGCAGGCACCTTGCTTCGAGCAGTGAGGACCGAAGTGAGCGTGGGCATGTTCCTTCTCGATGATTTCTCTCCTTCCTTCTGCGCAGGCTCATGATGTTGCTTCTTCTTGGCCTCGACCACTTTTTCTGAATCCGATGTTAAATCGATAACTTCGACCTTTGGTTTCGGTTTAACTACTTTCTTTTGAGCAGCTTTCGCCGCCGCTACCGCAGGCTCCGCTCTTTTGCCTGCTCCAGGTCCATCGAGAATGGAAGGCGCTCCATTCACGTTAACTACGGCTTGTTTCTGCGGAATTATTTTAGAAGAAATTAGGTCAGCCATAGTTGTGAACATCCAGGTTTTAAGAAGAAGAACATCCGGGTTTTAAGAGGTATACCTTGTTGTTTTCAGCAGCCGCAGCAGCCTGTGCATTTGCCAGTAGTTGTGCACAGAAGCTTCTGACGTTAATAATCACAATAAAGCCAGTAAGGAACATGAGCACACTGGATCTAACAATTGGAGGGGGAAAGAGAGAGAGAGAGAGAGAGAGAGGAACCTTGTAATGGGGCGATGAGGCTGAACCTTGCCTTCGACGCCTCGAACTGTAACAAGATTGCCAATGTCGCCGAGGGCTTTGCGGTTTCTTCCCTCGGCTGCGCCGTTCTTCTTCTGCTGCTTACCTGCTCCTCCTCCTCCGATCGCTGCCTCGCCTATATCACCGTCGCATAAGAATGTAATCAGCATATGCATAAACGATTAATTGGATGAAACACATACATGAAAGAAAACATATATAAACACGTTGTGGACAATTTGATTGCCCAGAAAATCCTTTATCAATTGGTTGCTCCTCTGAATTTTCCGAAAAACCAAATACGAATTGAAGGGGGGAAAAACCCGATTTCCATAGGGCCAGCCTATTCACTAATCAAGATCTGGGTGAGCGAGTACGAAAGAAGCCATCACACACAGACCCGGGGTTTCACACCAACACTCGTCGCACATAAGAAATCGTTGTCGACAACACGCGAGAGCTTCGACAGATCACAAGATCATTCCTAAGAAGATGCGCACAGGGGGCTACTAATTTCCAAGACTACGGAACAGAACCACCAAGAACAGAACATCAAAACGGCCAAGACAGTCTCGGCACGGGGCCGGGTCCAAAGCAGATCAACCCAGAAATCGTCACGGAAAGAGATCGAATACTATCCCGGCAAAGAAACCCCCCCAAAGATCTGATTTTTTTTACCTCTCGCTTGCACGGGAACAATGGGTCTCGAGGCCATTTCGATCAGAGAACAATCTCCTCCTCCGAATCCGATTGGCGAGGCGAAACCCTTCACACGAGAACGACCCTTTCCTTCTCCTCTCTCTCTCTCTCTGTGTCTCTGGGTCTCTCTCTCACAGCGAGATCATGCGGAGGAAGGAATAAGGAACGAGGATGAGAACTCTTATCCCTCTCCTTTATGAAGCTGACCAAGCGGCGCTTCCCCTCGCAACGGTCTTCTTCCCCTTTCAATTTCTGACCGCTGGATCCGCTTCTCGATCTGACGGCCGCGGACGGGTCTGCCGAAATATAGCCGTTGGAAGAAAAGGGCCTGGGGGGGAGGCTCAAAGTTACCGTTCTCGCTAATGGAAAAAGAAAATGCAAAAAAAAAAAAGGGTTAATATATTTTTTTAAGGGGGGTGTGCGCAGGCCGTGACCGCAGGGATCAGGGAGGGTCCGTGCAACCCCCTTCCGGAACTCGCCACGTGGCGACGGGGGGATGGGGGGAAAAAAAAAACGGACCAGGGAAATTGAAATGGGTTTTGGAAGGAAGAAAGGATCATCAAAACTACTTTTTCTTTTCGGCTCGTGGTTGATAGATTAAGGCAATTTATGATCGAATCGCGGGTCATCTGGGAATCGTTCCCAATTTGATGTGTAGATGTGTATAATCCAAGTCGGGGGTGGAGGCGTCGAGAAGCAAAGGGCGACGGGAAGAGAGGGGGGAACATTGAAAGTAATCAGCGGCGGCTGCCAATTGATATATCGATTTGATTGTCCTTTTGTAGATTGTCCACATATTTGATTTATCTAAAATTTTGAGGCCGAGGAATTTAAGGAAGGAAAGATCGAGGTGCTTATTTAAAGATTTTGAAAACTTGTGAGGGACTCGATATGAATAGTTTTTTTCTTTTATAAATCACAAGAAAGTCCACTTTAGATTGAGAAACCTCAGGTCCTTGAAATACCCATTGATATGTAGGTGAACCGCACCTGAAATTTTTTACACTTAGCGACATGGATTACTATACTTGCATTGCGCACCTAACTACAGACATGAGTCCGCCACTTTACTAAGCCAACGAGGTAATTTCACGACCGTATTTGTTCGTACAATCATTATATGGAAGTTCATTCTTCATGAACAGAAGGCAACCAGATTGGACCTATTTTCTTCATTCAGTTTAGAACTGAAAATTCATGTTTTGCTTAATCGAATTTCTCCTGCGTTTCATGAGTTGCAGGATGGCCTAAAACAGTGCAAAAGCGGTAGTTCCAAGCATCCAACTGCACATCTTATCATGAAAACTCTTTCTTCCTTGTTCAATTTAGACTTACATTACACTGCCCTTTTGTGAATTTTGATGAGTAAATTTATTTGTTACTCACAAAAAAAAAAAAGATTATTGAATGTGGGAGGACCAATACCCTCTACAAGCCCTTTTGTAGTATATCCATCATGGGCTATATAAGCAACATGCCATAGCTATACAAGCCGAGCACATGCCCCACAAGAGCAAACAACTCCGATCAGACGGTCCTAGCTGACAAGAAGAGACAAGAAACATGAAAGAGAAGTGACATTGAAGGGGATGAGCAGCTTTGCAAGAGACGTCGCACAACCAAATATATGACTACCGGAGTGCCATCCGTTTCTCAAACCTGAGCAAACAAAAATAGTAAAGAGTTGCAATTGGACAGAGAAGGCAAAAATCATGACTTTCATGCTACCAAAAAGTCCTCATCCGCTGAATCAACATCTTTTTGTACAGAACTAGACCTCTTCATTTTCATTTTCAAGTGAAGATCGAGGAGCAGAGAATGGATAAGCTCCTTTTGACAGTGAGACTTGTCGGCAACAACAAACGCATGAATGATATTCCCCGTCGATGCATATATATTAGACAACAACAAATATGTGCCAGCATTTTCTGGTTCCAACTGAAAAAGCTTCTCTGCAGCCACCTTGCCGATTTCCGCATTCCCGTGATAGTTGCATCCCGCTGGAAGGGCTCCCCAAAGACATGCAGATGGCTTGTCCACAACCTGCTCAATCCAACTGAAAGCTTCCTCCAGCCTACCAGCTCAACCGCACAGATCAATCAAACATGCAAAGTGATCTTCTCTCAGGTGCACGGAATCATCCTGCACAAGTCTGCTGAAGTACTCTAGGCCCTCCTCCACTAAACCAGCATGGCTACATGCGGAGAGCAACCCCACAAAGGTGGAGTCATCGGGTTTAAAACCTAATTCTATCATTTGGTTGAACGAAGTGATCGCCTCTCTTCCACTTTCATGATGAGCAGCATAAGCTGCAATCATACAATTCCATGATATTAAATCCCTTTGGCTCCACAAACCATCGTCAAACATCTTCCTTGCAGTGACTAACTCCCCACATTTTGAGTACATGTTTATGAGAGCCGATGCCACAAATGTATTATCATGATATGGAATTTTACAAATTAGCTGATGAATTTTCTTTCCTTCCCCAAGACCCGCCGAGTCACTGCAAGCGCCCAAAAACGCTCACGAAGGTTGCTTGATTAAGTTTTATCTCATCATCAGCCATCATTTTCAAAAATATCTTCAGCGCTTTTCATTTTGCCCATCCTGAACATACCCTGTGATCATGGTAGTCCAAGAGACAGACCAAGAGACAGACATTCCTCTGGGGCATCTCATTGAACAAATCCCTGGCCCCCCCTTTCTGTCTCCATTGTGAATAAGCCCTGTGATCATCGTATTCCACGACGGCACGTTCCTCCTCTCTGGCATTCTCTCAAATAAATTAAGAGCATCCCTTCAACTCTTATACTGTGCATAACCAGTGATCATTGTGTTCCATGAGACGACATTACGTTCTGGCATTCTATCAAACCACTCTCTTGCCTCATCGAGCATCCCACTTTTAGACAAACCTGCCACCATTGCCGTCCAGGAAATTAACATCCCTTCTTGGCATCTGATCAAAAAGCGTCATTGCCTCCTCGATCCTCTCACGCTGTGCCTAAGCAGTGACAAACGTATTCCATGAAACCACATTCCTCCCCGGCATGCTCTCAAACAACTTCAGCGCCGAGTCAACTTGATCATTTTATGCGTACCCGCCAATCATGGTGTTCCACGAGACAGCATTTCTATGGAGCATACCATCAAACAAAGTCTCCGCTTCACGTATTCTACCCAACTTCACGTATCCACCAAGCGTGACAGTCCAAGTCACCGCATTTTTCTTGGCATCTACCCCATCAAACAGCTTTTCGTGCCTCTTCAATCAACCCACGCTTGATATAAGCAGATATCAGAGTGACCCATGCTATCTCGTCTCTTACACCCATTTCGTCGAACTTCTTACGTGCTTCCACAATCCTCCCTTCCTTACCGAGCTTTGTCATCAGTCAAGTAGACCGAGCAATGTTCGATTTTGCACCACCCTGCAAACGAACTCTGAGACCCTACAGAATCGCTTGTGGAGTGATAAACCCTGCAAACACCCAGAACAGGGACGATCTCCATAACCCCAACATTTCAAAGCCCGTCCAAGGTCACAGCAACAACTCAGCCAACACCAATTCAAATTAACTCGCGAAAGCTCGAATGGGGCAATCTCCATCTGCTACGAACCTGATCTCCCAAGAAGCCAACCCCGAGTTTCAACAGAAACTCGCGACTAATTCGACGACTTCCACTGACGGATAGAGTAATCTATAATGCGCGAGCGAGATGGGGGTGACGTTAACAGAGCTTTAATTCTCCAAGCACATGATAGGTGTGCGAATTCGCCATGCGACTTCATAGGAAACCAGATTGGATTGTTTTCTTCATTCAGTTTAGAACTGAAACTTGTGTCCATGGAGCTAAAAGACGTAGCAAAAGGAATATATAAGGTTATATATCAAGCGGAGATATCTCGGAAAATGCTCTCCAGGATGGCCTGAAACAGAGCAAAAAGCACCAGTTCCCAAGCATCCACCTGCACATCTTTCTTCCCATCACAACTGCTCTTCTTCTTTGTTACAATTTAGACTGCATTGAGAAGCAACTTTTTCATGAGTAAATTCATTTGTTATTCACGGGAAAAAAAATTTGAATGTGGGAGGACTAATACCCACTACAAGCCCTTCGTCTGTACTTCTATATCCATCATGAGCTATATAAGCAACAAGTCATAGCTATACGAGCTAAGCACAAGCTTCCTGAGTAAAAACTCCTATCAACCAGTCATAGCTAATATATGCAACGTGTCCAGAGGTAATAAACACAGATTTTCACAAATGAAGTATCAAGCAACAGCTGCATTCGGCACTGGAAGTTTGGTCTTCAAAACAATGAGATCCGTCTCCGTGACTTCGCCATCTGGCTAAGAGTTTTTTCGATTCGAGTGCGTGGACCTGGACCCTTATGACTTGCCGGTTGCTTTGGGAGAGCAGGTAAAGCCAGCACTGTCCGCTGCCTCTTGGCTGTCAAAAAGCATGATCAAAGTGATTGCTTGCTATGTAGTAGGTCTAAGAAACAGTCGAACTTCCTGCAAAAGCAACTAACCTGATTCTGCTTGTTGATAGTGCTCTTGTAATGTCCCCTTGGAGGCTCCAAATTTCTTTTCCACTGCAACTTCATCCGAGCTGTTGATCTTCTGATGGAAACAAATGACCAAGTCAGTTTTTAGTTGGAATGATAATCTGAAATTAAATAGCTTTCGCACTTACATCGTGTCGACTGGTGAAGAGTCTCTTGCGGCCCATGATTCCGTTTGAGTTTTGAAGCATTCTTTCCTTCTCAAACTTCTGTGTTGCAATTTTTGAGTTGATACTAGAAGATGTATTGGGCTTCACAGTGGCCTGTTGTTGGTTCATATTTGGTCTCTGGTTCCTCTTAGCAATTGAACTGGCCTTGTTGGCGTGTTTCTCTTGTTGCCATTTTGGGGTGTTCTGGTTCTTCACTGACGATGATAATCCACTGGCACAATCTATTTTTCCGACTTTGCGAAGATCCACATAAGAATCTGACAAGTTTAAACAAATAAGAAAGGGTACCCAGATAAAGAACAAGCAACCTACAAGAACATTTGTATAATAGTAATGCTAATACCAGCAACATCCTTTGTGCTGCGGCATATCTCTTCGACCATGGCCTTCCATCTCCTGCAATTATAAAAAGAATCGATCTGTGAGTAATTGAACTGGAAATCCTTATGAAATTACCATGCTCTTGCGCTTCCAATTAAGTGAAGTTGGTAAAGCACCCGAATCTATGCTACAAACAAGATATGTCCAAAAAGGGTGTCATTGCTTGGATTACGCAAGAAGCAGGCATCGCAGGTTGAAGTGTTTCTACTTTTTATTCAAAGATTCAGTGTTTTCATAAAGTTACGTCTAATCAAGTTTGAAGTTCTTGGAAAGTCGGCATATGTAGTTACGGAGAAAAACTTGTATAGTTGCTTCATGTTGCAGCATACAGACATTAAGCCCAAGTGTCCGGTTCCTCAAGAAGCCATGGAATAAATGAGAATTGACAGAACTGAAATATATCCCTCCATACATAGTGATGTTGTGTGCAAGTTGAGCAATCTGCGTCGATCCACCTTTCCTCCGGAGACTGTTGACAGTTATCCCAATCTTTGTTTTCTGCAAGAACTCAGCAAAATTAGATGGATTAAAGAAGCCTATTGGCATTGTCTTTCAAGAACTTAATTGAAAGATAAGCTATTCAATCAAACCTCCAATACATCCATAGAGATAGTCATCAACTGGAGTTTTCTCAGTGATTCATAAAGCGCCGAATCAGACTGCCATATCAAAAAACAAAGCCACGTTATATATATGGACAAGGAACAAAACAAAAAACGACTTTTCAACATACTATCTCCAAAACTACAGAAATTCGAAATCAATGGGCAAAGAATGTACTGAATTCGAGTTAGGATATTCACCTCGTGTTGACTGTTGTCCAAAACCCGCTTGATCCTTAGAAGTTCACCAATAATTTGAGACTGTTCATCAATCTCATCACTAAATGCCTCTGCGCCTCCATAATCGAGATAGCTTTCCGGGTTCATGTCCACCCCATCACGCTCAACGTCATCCTTACTGTTGTCCCTGATCGTTTTACTTTCTTTATTCGCGCGTACACAATCATCTCCACCATCGCGCGACGCAGGCAGGTCATCGTACCCTGGGCGCCGCCGACTCTGAGTCGACGTGGTCGAGAACAGCCGCTCGGCTATGCGGTCTCTTTGTAGCCGAAAATCTCCCGGGCGATCCAGCACGGCTATCGTGATAGCGGTCTCGATGAACTCAAACATGTCCGTCGTTCCAAAGAAATCCCTCCAATCATCCAGCGATTCCCCCATCGTGGCCACGGCTAGGAACAGAGTGCTTGGCGCGCAAGAAACTATCAAGAAACCGCAACGATCTCTATGGTTTTCGGAACAGATTGTATCGCGCGCGACAACACCCTACCCGTTCGGAAACTCGGTCAGAGCACCGGTGGGACAACGGAGGGACTTGACGAGAAAATTCAGACAAACCTGAGAAATCCTCGCTTCAGCGATGGTGGAAACAGAGCCGTCGTTGTGTCGCTGGGGCTCGTCTCCGTCTGAGGTTTGTATGCGATACGAATGTTTGTTTGAGAGGGAAAATTACAAGGTTGTCTTTCTTGTGTTCTTTTGAAATTTATGACCAAATTCTCACAGCTTCTTTAATTATCTAATAGATATCTGACCAAAAAAAAATTTATCTAATAGATAAACTCCCCGAAATAGAAAAATAAAAATAAATGAGGGATTTTTTTGGATACCCGCTTAGAGCAAATTTCTTTATTTTATATCTTTTGCTTTTACGTAAGCAAATATTTCTTCTTCTTCTTCTTTTTATTTTCTCGCTCCAAATTTGAAAAGATTAATGCCACAAAAAAGCTCAAATTGGTACACTTGTGATAAATTTACCCGATAGTTATAATACTCAATTCTTTATATCACAATGTGCAAAGGATACATGACTAGTCCTCTCTACTACTTTTGCATGCATTCTTCAAATTAAAATATGTCAATACTTTGAATTTAAATCATCGTTAAATTGTAGATTATCTCTGAAAGACATGAAGGTTTATGTTGAGAATTGACCCACATCGCTAGGGCTTTTAAACTTAATATAAAGAGCTCGGAGCAATTTTAACAAATAAAATTAGTAATATGGTATTGCGGAAGTAAAGATAAAGACGCTTTTTCAAACGTATATAAAGGAGTTACGTCTTAAATGGAGAAACGTTGAAGTGACAAAGAGGAGAGAGATTAGCAAATACTAATAGATAGCATTGTGTGAGGGAGAAGAACCCTAATGTTGCCAACTAAGCAAAATGACCAAAAAGAGCGACAAAGCTCTAGCATCGCTTCATCAGCAATAGCTTTTACATCGTACATATAGATATAGGTAAGTTCGTTTTTTAACCTCGTCTTTTGTAATAACAAGAAAAAAACAGTGGTTAATCCCTATTTATCCACCCAACTTAATAAACATGAAGCAACAATTATCACAAACTTTTCCATTTTTCTTTAAAGAAAGTATTTTTGAAGATTGATCTGCCTAATTGGATGGATGATTCCGAGGCAGAAATGAATCTTGGCTCATCATTATGTAAAACGGGTGATCATTGGTCCGAGCCTGGACCAAACCCATTTCAACTATGTTTGTTATTTGTTTTGTTTTTCACGTGACTAGAATTTGAAGCATTTTTTATGAATGAATGAATGAGGAATGAAGTTCTATAATTAATATTTTATATTACGTGGTTCAAGCTTTTTATTGTTTATCTTATTTTATGTGATCATATTTATGGATTGTTACTTTTGGCAAGTAGAGAATTCTGCTGTTGCTTTAGATTTCATTTTGCTTGACTAAGAGAAGAGTAGGACAATTCACTGTTGCTTCAGATTTCTATTTGGCTTTTACCGGTGTTTTACTTCTCATCGTTTTATTACTAGGCATGGCAGTTCTAAATATCGTGTTGATGGATATGTACTTTGAAAGAACAAATTTGTCATTTAAAGAAACACAAGAAAATGCAAAAAAAAAATCAGCAGGTTCTCCGGACTGACCCTAGAACCGGACCAGACCAGTATTTACGAACGGAAATTTTTTTTTTTATTCTCGTGCACTTAAACAATTTCCAGTATTTGAAGGCGTTTGATAAACCGTCCAAAATTTCTATTTCTAGAGTAGAAAAACCCTGAGCAATGCGTTTAGAATTCACACAAAATTTCTCGTTCCCAAATAATATTTTAATAATATTTTGAATTAGGTTAATTTTTTTTTCTTTCTACCGTTTTCTTCTTTGGGTTTTCTTCTTTGGCCGTCACTAACGGTGCCGCGCACTGCGGCCACGGCCTCGCTGCTCGGCGAGCCGACCTGACCCGGACGGGCCGGTGAGGCGTCCACGGCCGACCGCCCGCCGGCCAGGGCGACCTCAGCAGTGAAGGCTCCGTTTGCTGGTGGACCCTCGCGTCTGCAGGGCGAGCCCGACCTCGCCGTCGCGAAAATCCTAAGACACAAAATGTGCCCAAACTTGAAACTGCTCACCCCTGATATAAGCGTCCAAGTGTGCATGCTTACTCAGCTTCTATAGTGGCAATTTTACATCTGCGTGACATTGACCGAATATCTCCGACCAATCAAACGGAACTTACCAAATAGAACCTGTGCACCGGTTTCAACATACATCAGATGATGATAGGCGTTCAGCTTTAAGATCAGACGGATTGGGGGAAGGATTATAGTTTCGCAGCAAGAATCTTCTTCAAGCGCACAACTCAAACAAGCATTTTGCTCATCAAATCAATCATTATATACCCAAAAACACGTTACATCAGATGATTAGGCGGGAAGAAAAAACGACGCCTAAAACCACACGAGAAGATTAGCGAAGCACAACCATTTGCAGCAAAACACACATGGTCGCTTAGGGAAATAGAAAGGGAAAAGAAAAAGGAAGAATCGCGAAGACATTTGGTCTTTTCCACGATAATCAGACCCATGCACACTGCTAAACCTATTTAAAAACTGATCATACTCACACTTTAAAAAGAATTTCAGTCAGTAAGGCGGGGCTTCAGAGATGATCATCAGGTCCACCAAGCAAAACCTGTTGATCAGAAAAAATTCAAGTTGCAATATAAACACCTCGAATTGAAGACTGAATATGTTTAAACCTGGCATTTAGTGATGAAAGAAGCACCAAAAGAAGCGACTTTTACAAAAAGAAACTTGCAGCGAAATGGAAAAAATAAAATGATGTATCAAGTGAAACGAGGCCGGAGTACATACATTGCAATCTAGGGCATATTTTCTTGCAAGCATTATAGCTGCATTTCTGTCCCGCTCTGATTCGAAGGTTAACACAAACGACGACCCTTTTCTCGGTTGCCAAAATAATCCCTTCGCTGCTGCACTGTTGTCGCTTCTGACTCCACATAACTGGATTTGAAAAAGATGAAGAATGAGAAATGCCTGTTGAGTTGAAACTGCTTCACATATAGTGAATGTAAGTATCGAGACTACTGCACTCTTAGTTGGGGTTTTTAGCTAGTTCAGTGGATGAACCTCATGGAACTCATAGAATATTTCTCTTGTTAAAGAGTAATTTGATTTTCGTAAGTATTGCACCCACTCGATGCCTATCCAGGAATTATTTTACTAGAGAGAACAGAACATTATTCTACTTGTAGACTCCAATTGCACAGTATATTAACACTTCCATACATGTACCTGCATTGATGCCGAGTATATGTCTCTGGCCTTTGTTATCCATCCCCTGCAAAGTTTTATCCTTGTTTTCCCCACATGAAACGTATGAGATGAATGCGACTGATAATCTTGACCATTCATCTGAGAAATAGTTACCTGCGCAACAGAGTAAAAATTAACTTGAAGGCATAGAGTCACCGTATCAAGAAGACAGGAAATGTAAAGGGAGTAGTATCTTCCAACAATCATACTGCTTGAGAAGAAAAAACGTTTCTACTTATACGTAAATATAGAACCAGCATTGATATCATGGTACACACTCTGGATAAGGAGTGAGATAACATACGGTAAATTCAGCATTGGATTTCCGCATCAATGTCTCTACATGGCTATCCAGTCCTGCAACTGTTAGAAATTCAATTGGCTTCAGAGGAGAATCATTATTGAGCAGCCACAGCATTAACTGTTAAGCTTTTCAATAAATTCAAAAGTACCAAGAAAAATAGAGCAGAATGAGAAGTAGAGAACCATGTCAAAGCTTGTAGAAGAATCAATTATAATAAAGCACTTTATTCAAGTATGGTGAGTGTAAACCTACCAGGATCGATGGAACCGATGGTTGCCACAGAATCTTTGTTGCCATTGAAGATTATTTCAGCTTCTAAGATTCGTCCGACATCCAAGGGTTCAGGAGCATAACTCGGTGAGTTGGCACCTAAGGGAAATAAAACCGAAAATTACTTAATAGTTTTTCAATTTTATGGGTAGAGCAAGCCACTAAATTTATTGCAGAAATCGCACAGCTACACTCAAGATAAGGTGCAGAATTTTGACGCCTCGATCAAATTTGATTTTAGGTCAGAAAAGCACAAAATCATCTAATAGATGAAGCGATATACATGATTGAGTAAGAGAATTCAGAGTCTGGATAGAGCAGGCCCATTAATCTTCACAAATATCGTTGATGGGACAGATTCGAAATATAATATTATCAGAAGCTTTTGAGAAGGCAAGCTCACATTGTTTGTGTGTTCACACATGCCAAACAGCCTCTTTCAATTTTCCCTGAAGAAGTGTGCTTAATGAAATTTTTGTTTTTGATCGGTAACATCCATAGAAGAAGCTTGTTTCTTCTTTTCCTTGCTGTAAACCAGTTTACTTTGTGATGAAGCCGCAATACTTTCTCTGTTAATTTGCTTTTGTAAATAAGAAATCTACATGATGCAAGCATTCAGCAATTATCCATTTGAAGTTATTATTTTAGTTTGCAACTATGCATCAGTCTAGCTCTGCAGGTTTTGGGCACTTAAAAAGCACTAAAAGATCAAAGTGGATAATTTCCTTCACCAGAGATATGATGAACCTTGGTATCCAATTCTCAGAGATCGAGCCCCTCGAATAGTGCTATGGCTACAGAGTATTTAGTTAAGTCCTATTTTTTTTCATAGGAGTTTCCGGCTTTTATGTCTAATAAACCCACGAAAGTTCACGAACTCAAGCGAATCATCGTGACATCAATTTTCTACCTGAAATTTTTTCTTCATGCAAATACAAGGACCAAACTTTGACATCATTGCACATGTAAATTTCCTTACAAAACATCATAGTAAATCAGAAAATAATTCATGAATTCCTATTCTAGACAGAACGATTTTTGCTCCACCATGTTAGGAGTGTTAACAAAATATCCACATTGAAATAATAATGCAAATGCAAACAGACAATATTATAGAGATAATCTATCAGGTCCCACACACCCTCAACATACATAATCAGAATGCATATGGTAGACTTCATGGATAGCAGGACAAAGCCTTCCGTCCTCTAGCCATGATTATTCTTGGAAACCATGGAGCATTATACAAACAAAAGCAAGAGTGCCAACGAGCTAGAGAAAGGTTATGCATAGGAAGACTTTAAGTGAATAATATATCAAATGGTTACCTGAAATGGCATCTCTCTGGCTTCCATTGGAAGATATGCGAAACCACTGAATGGAACACTTGCAAAGTGCTGGAGCATTATCTGCACAAGGACGGACCCGTAGATTTGACCCGAGAGCCTCACAACCATCTAATATATATAGACGAGATCTGTTCTCTTCAGCTCTCTTGCTCATGGTCAGCTGCAAGAGACCAGCTGAGATTAGCTCAAGAAAACACCTAATCGACAGGAAGAGCGAAAGACTTGTCTAATTAAAACGATGCATCAACAAGAGTACAGCATCCACTATGGAAGAGACCTAAGTGCTAAAAACACTAAAGTGTAGAGAAGGGGCTGCCACATATTGTGCCACCTGTCAAATTGTTATTTCTCTTAACACCGCTAACAATAAAGTGTACACTTATTCATTCATCATTTTGTCTGAATATGAAGATAAAGCTCATATTTTTGTAGAAAAAATTTCATATTCATATAATTGATTTTCTCTTATTAAATTAGTTGATTTTACCAAACTAAAGCAAAAAAAAAGCATTAGTCTAATAAATAAATATCAGCAAAAAACAATGAATGCATTTGCCAATAAAATTTAGTTCCCTTCACCGAATCAGTTTATTTAAGTTTTTTCTTATTGAATCATACAAATGTCTTTCTATATAAGTACAACTTTTTGAATTAACTTCTGTTATGTATGCATTAATATTTTATTGTAATAATATAAAATTATAGGTAAATCATTTTTTTTTATCAAATCTAACACAATATGGATAAGAAGTACCTATTTTTCTATAGAAATACCAGGATAAGTTATCAAGTGTCTCGAAAAAGTTAATATTTTTATTTTTCAAGAGGAAAAACAAAAAATTTAATGTGCTATGTCGACACTATCTAATGAGACCGTATAGCATGAGAGGACATATTTTTCTAATAAGTAAAATGTGTTACATTTTTATCTTTGATCGTAATAAATTTCAACAAACTCATTCAATATTAAAGAAAGATAAGGATAATTTTTTTGCTAAAAGAAGAATTGCACAGAAAAAATTTAATTTTCTCCGCGACAACACGCGGGCCCGTTCTATTATAATACAAAGTGAAGAGAAAGTTAAAACAATAGATAAACAAGAATAATATTAGAAGAGAAAAAACTATAAATCCCTATCATTTCCATTATCCTGGATCAAATAAAATTAGGCCTTATGTAATGTTACTGATAACTGACGGACCTCTTTCTGAAGCTTAAAGGAAAATATTGATTTCTCTCGAATTTGAAGTCTGAGCGCACGCAGCTCGTGTTCCATATCCATCACCTGCACAAAAGCACACATTCCTCCTGAAGCAAAGTCTCTATTACAAGAACTCTACAGTATGCGCCAAGTGCAAGTTGTAATTCAATATGTATGCTGTAGAGAGAAGTGACTTCATTTATTTCGGCAAATCAAGGATGCTATGTTATTTGGACTTGTCACGGTTGAATTTCCTTGCGCTTTTGGTTTCATTCAAAATGGGATGAGCATATGCAAAAGGAGCAAGGGAAGTCTCGCATATTTACCGATCTTATATATCTAGAATTATTGCTTCAGCCAGTGATTTGTGGCAGATTTATCAGCCAACAACATTCGTGGCATAGGCAAGCACAGTACTAGAAGGTCAATTTCTGAGGTGGTAAAGATGACCTTGCTTTATAATAATCCGTGCAACTACCTTCAATGAGAACTAATAAGTAATTGGGTTAACTTACATGTAAATAATCACGGGCAACCGGACTCTTGCATACACAAAGATTCTTGGACAGATTATCTTTTCCAAATAATTAATTCCAGGAATTGCCCTTACTTTTCAGTAATAGATGATAATTTCCAAAGATGTGCTACAAAGTAACACTGATAATGCACGTTAAGGAAATTGTATGTGCTACTGGAAACATAAGAGACAGTGATAGTGCACCTTGCTTGGCTGGTGCATCAATTTGATTCTTCTGGCCTCTTGAACCTCCTGCAGTAATTCTTCCACATCCTATAACAACCAAACAACACGAGCATATATATGAGTGTCAGGTTTCAGCACATCATCGGATAAACAAACATGGTTGAACGCGTTTTTGTTGCATTTTAAACCATGAGTCACCAAAGATGAAACTTGGGAATTTTAAGTGATGCATTAGGATATCACCAAGCAACCTTGCAGTGTAAGCTAGAGTACAAAAGAAATGCAAGTCATCAGGTATTATATTGCCCCTTTCACTGAGAGAGATTACCATAAGCAAGACATGTACTTTATAGCAGCAGTCATTAAAGCCAGGAAGTTAATAGAAGGACAAAAGAAAGGTTGGTACAGAAATTACAGACAAAGTTTTGACTAAATTGGTCTATTGGCATTTGCCTCTAATAGCCAAACTTGAAGACATCATTAGATCATATTTAAACCAAGGATAAGACAGCATGTGACAACTGGAGAGGAAGAGGGAGAGAGAATTTATCGACATTAAGTAATGCAGAGCTTGTTCATGTGGTTTTTGAGATGGTTGGAGAAATTTTGTTAGCTTGCGACAGCAAATTCGAAAATTTCTTTGGATGAGTGACCTTAATATATACCTCTCTATCTCCAGTCTCAGGCTCACCACTACCATGCAACTCTAGTGGGGAAAACCATTGCCCACCGTGAAGTAAAACAGAAGGAAGTAAAGTTAAAAGAGGGTGAGGTGAGAGAAACTCTTCATTTCCATTTTTTTTACGAGTTGATTTAGATAATGCAAAATTTTTACATATGCCAATAAACCTATGTTTCATCGTAACATACGTAAGCTTGACGGGCTGTTATTGCTTAATAACAATAAAGCATTAAACTAGGTACCTGTTTTTTAGATGTTTGGGAGTTTCTTTCTTCCTCTTCAAGGGCCTCCCCAAATCGCTGTACTACTGCTCTAGCACTCTCAATTTCAGCACAAGCAAAGGAATTTTCTTGACTAACAAGCTTCTTAGCATCTTCAGAAGCCTGCATATGAAGAGCTTAAGTGAGAAAAAGGACATCCCTACTAAAAGAGATTACAGAAACTTAAGTTGAGACACTTCGCAAGTGCAGATATTATACTGAAATTCCTGGAACAACGGCTACAGTGACATATAAGTACAAAAGAGAATGGTGAAGTTCCTAATTTTTATCACTAGGACAAAAGCTAGCTTGGATAGAATATTAAGAATATATCTTCAATCTATCATTAGCACCATCTTTTGCCATAAGACTGTCCTCGAGTTTCTCTAGCATGAGCATACCTGTTTGAGGAAGTTTACAAGCTTCTTCACTTCGAACTTTTCTTGGATTAGCTCTCCTTCTTTTTGAGTCAACTTGACTGCTAAAGCTTCCACCTGTGAGGCAATCGCAGTCAAAAAAACTCGTCATCATGCTGAACAATATGTACTCAGGAAGATAGCCACTAAATGCGGACATTCATATCCATTACATAAAGGATCTTGTTCATGAGGAAGAAGTGGAGACATATGTGAAGCATTCCTTCGTCAAAGAATGATGATGATGGATTCCCGGCTCAATATATATGTGACAAGACAGCAAAAATAGCTAATCTCACTAAAAAGACAGCTAGGAACTCAAAAGTGAAGAGGATATCCCTCACCTAAACAACATGGCAAAAGGAGAAAAATGTGGAACTAAAGTTGATACTGAACAGAGTGATAAAAGATCCTCAGAAACTAACTGGTAATAGTCTTATATTAGATTCTTGTGATTCGATGTAATTCAACTTGCAAGGCCGGAAAACTTGATTGCATGCATGCATGTTCAGATCCATCTGATGAAGCTGACAGCAAAAGAGAGGTCCAGCTACTTTTTGTGTAAGGGATGGATTAAATCAACAGATCAAGTTATGAAGTAGCGACAGAAGATAGAACAGAATAGAATACTGGTTCTATATTGTGAATCCAAATGTCCAAAGCCAGACTGCTTAGGCATATCATGATTATCTACCCTTTTAAACTTGCATCAGGTTAAAGAAAGGAAATTCGACCTAGATAATTGATACATGTTTAACAAAAAGAGTCAGTACAATGAAGGTTCGCTTATTTAAAAATTAAAAAAAAAAGTGAAAAGGACAAGAACATGGCCTTTTCTGTACGTCAATGTTGCTGCAATACCATGGCCGTTCATGCTTCAGTAAATTTGGCTATCCTTCAGTGCACTAGACAGCCAAATACAATTACAATCCAAATCGCGTTGGCTCAACCAGAGGAACCAAGAACTGAACTAGTCCATCAGGTCATGGAATAAAGGAGTTCGAGCAACACATGGATAATTAGCATAAGAACTAACCATTGCGATGGCTTTCTCTACATCCTCCTTGTTTTGCCCAGATAATCGGCCCCTTAATGATTCCAATGCATCTCTAAGCTTCTTTAGGAGCACATGACCCTCCAAAGAAGCAACTTCTCTCAGTTTTGCCTGACATACAGCAAAAGTTTATTAACAGTAACTCTCTGGAAAGTTGATCAATTTCCAAGGAAGAAAAAACAGAAGACTTTGCTAAAAACCAAGCGCAAGAAACCAATTCGAGTTCTTTACACAGTGAACTCCAACAGAATATGGCTAATGCCACTACTAGGATAAAGTTGGGGCACAATTAATCAAAGGTCTAGCACAATATCAAATTGATTAATATGATTGAATTTGGACAACTTTTATATGTATTCGGTACAACGTTCAGCAAATGGTATAGACTTAAATACCTCATTGGACAATTTAGCCGCAGCAGCCAAGTTTTTATCAAATTTACTGGCAAGGTCACGAACTGAGAGGCGCTTATGTTGCTCTGACAACTGGGCAGTTTCTTGTTCTACAACTTCCTTTAAGGATGGACCTTTATTATCATCCTTTGGCTCTTCCAAAATCTGATTATCTGGACCTAACTTGTACTTAGGAAAGCAATCGGAAGCAAAGCTGACATCCGCTGACACCGCCAGAACTTCATGAGACCCCATGCTACCAAGTTCAGGACTCACTTTCGTCATCCTTCAGACAATTCTCTGTTCAGAAAGAGCGAGACTTTTGAGAACAAAGAGCAAGATAACATACTGGGGCAAAAAGGGATGAACAGAGAACCAAAAATTTGAGGAAAAAAATATAGTGAGTGAAGTTCCTAATCCAGGTATATCTAGAAACTACCTCTAAATTTAAGGATAATCAAGCTGGATGTGTTAAGAAACTCGAGTTGAAGGATTAGCAATCTGGTTGTGTAAAGCTCCAGTGAATCAAGATCGCGAAAGAATCTTTGAATCACCATGAAGAGAGAAAAAGAATGAAGCAGCCAGGGACATTAAAAAAGAAAAAGAAAAGAAAAAAGAGAGTCCATACAGAAGAGAAACGGGTATCAATTAGCTGGGGCTAGCTGGTAGAATTTCAGATTTAACAGGAACCAGTAGCACCAGATCAGTAATTATAAGGCTAAACAGTTCATATTCGACTAAGACATGATCTCACTTTTCAAGTAAGGCAATCCCAGAAGAGAACAGACTAGATTCCACCCACAATAGTAACTTTCGCCAAAAGGTTGAATGTCCTCATTTGTCAACAAATAAATCAACATTAGAGCACTAAAGAGGCTTCCAAATCTACTGGATTCAACAATAAAAGGAGGGCCACTCTCTATTCCGGAGATTGAAGAGCCCAGTTGCATGCATTATTCACAACGGAGAGACAGAACCAAAGGACAAAAATACTCAAGAAAGAAAAAGAGAAAACAGAACACGATCATCTCCGTCGCGAAGATACATTCCCAAGAAAATTCCCAAAAGCACCTCAAAAGAAGTGGTTTGTTTTTCCATGAATAGACTGTCCTAAGCAATCCGGTCGAGTTCTTTCTTGCATATTAAGCAATTATAGAGCCGGAAAGCAAACCAGTAAATAGCCATCACCCAAATTATAAAACAGGGACATGTCCCAACTAGAGTAATTCACAACCACATTAAACAAAACACGAAGAACAAAAAAAACTCTCAGCGCGAAACATAAATCGCGCACAAAATCCGCAAATGAAGCAGTACCCTTGTGACCATATCACGCGTAGCAAAACTGGCAGCCATCGCTGGCCGCAAACGACAGAAGGAAAAAAGACGAACATGGATAGCAGCAGAACTTCGGATTACAAGCTTCCAGCGACGAACGACCCAGAAAAGGAAAGCAGAGAGAGAGAGAGAGAGAGAGAAACTGCAATGCGGCTACACAAAGAACGTGGAAGTCACGGAACTTACAAAATTCACCACCACCGGAGCAATGCCCGACGACGGAGCGGAAGTGCCTCCGAGCCTCGGTCAAATGCTACGAGAGACGACCCCCCCGGTCTCTTCCCGAAAAGTTCAGACAGCACGCGAAAGGAGAAGGGGCGGGGAGAGAGAGAGAGAGAAAAGTGGTGGTGGTGATGATGGCGAAGAGAAGAATCTTAAGGAATGCTTGCTCCAGCTTTTGCCCCCTTTAAAATGGCCCATGAACAAAAGAGAAAGGAAGAAGAGGGGGGGGGGGGGGAGCTGCTGCCAGAGAGAGAGAAAAAAAGAGCAGGGCCTCTGACCTCCAATGCCTGCCTCTCTCTCTCTCTCTCTCTCCTTCTCTGCTTCTTCCTCCTCCTTGCAACAACAACAACATGAGTGAGAGAGAGAGATAAGGAGGGGAGGGGGGGCAGGGCACAGATGTTCTTGTTCCTCTTTTTCTTTTCACACCATCATGACCCCTCCTCTCTCTCTCTCTGCTTAACCAGGAAAAATATATATATATATTAAAAAGTAAAATAAAATAAAGGTGAAAAAAAAAATTTAAAAACAAGAAGCCGAATTGACTTTTTTTTTTACAGCTAGGACCATAATGTCGCAGCGTCGCGAGAAAAAAAGGCTTAAGTCGCGGTCACGGCAACCCGAATTAACGTGAGATCGACTGTACTTGTTGTCCAAATAACTCCTTAATTGCCGCGGTAAAATCGAGATTCTAATAGAGAACCGAAAAATACATGTGCCTATAAATTGCGAAATGACAAGTGAGGGCAGGCTCATCCCACGCCGAACCCTCGATGAGAGAGGAGATGCGAAAGTTAATTAAGTTCTAACGCTATGACAAGGTGTGTCTCATCCAAAATCTTAAATCAGTAAATCGGAATAGACAATATGTATATAAAAAATGTATGAATCCTGTAAACAAGCGATATGAAATACTTTAATAGCGCCCCCTTCTTACACCGATGATTATAACAATTGCAAGATTATTTTCTTTATTTGCTTAGATTAGCGGGAGGGGGTGTTGTTAGAAAATCCTCCCATGCATCATCATTTTCTGGTTTCTTTTTACCCAAAAGGCCAAAAAAAAAAAAACAAAGAAGAAATTTCTGGTAAAGAAGGGATAGTGGAAAATGGAAAAAGCGAGCCCCACGCGCTCGGACCGCTTTCTCTCCCTCCACGTGGGTCCCGGTCTGCTCGCTAACTATTTTCTTTCTTCCTGCTAATCGCGTGGGAGCGCGTGGTTGACGGCGCGTGGGGTAACGGCACGTCACGGACACTGAACTTGTCTGGCGGGGTGGGAGTTAGTTTGCGATAACGACTAGAGTTTGGCCAGTAGCCACTTTTCCTACTTGTTAAGAGCAAGATGAGAAGTTCGAAACTCTACTTTTTCAAAGAAGTTAAAGGTAAGGACATATAATTTCAGATGTAGATTTTAACTCTCACATCTTATAAGAGACAAAGCAAAAATTTAAGAATAAATTGAGAGTTAGAATATAACATATCAAAAAATATTAATTTACGATTATTCTTCCCATGGTGGTTAGTATGGAACCGACCTTGATTGCGTCACAAATTACGGCGATGACATCGTATTTTTTAAGAATGTATGTTGTCCAATTGTCCATCAATCCCCTCACCTAAACTATAATCTTTTTTTTTAATCAAGTGTGACCAAAAAAATATAAATTTTTCTTTTTAATTTTTAAAGTTAATACCATAAAAGACACTATATTATGCCGGTTATGACCATTAATCCAAACCTTTGTTTTTGTCACCCAGAAACCCTAACCACACCTATTGTAATATTTAATGCTTCGAACTTTTTTTTTTGTCACCAAACCCTCAAATTTATATTCGTGTGACGAAAAAATCCCGAATTTTTAATCATATTGGTACAAGTTTCAGGTACCCATGCCATGCAAAAAGAAAGTTTATGGTAGTGATGTCACATTGAGCAAAGTGTGGAATTTTGTGTGGTAGACGGACAGTATTTTTGTCGCACGTTGATATGAGTTTTGGGATCTTGGTGACACAAAAAACTAAAAGTTTGGAACATTGGTGTCACGACGAGCATCATTTGAGATTTTCTTATGGTATTTTTTTCTAAATTTTATTTCCATAGAAAAAGATTACCTAACCTATTAAACGGGGAGGACGAGTCCAAATTTACATGCATGTGTGAAAATAAATAATAAATAAAAAAATTATTATATTTGCTGTGTTATGAGGTGATGGAACTATCATTTTCAGTAATTCCTTTTTTTTGGGGGGGGATAGCCTACTTTTCCATTAAATATATTCAATTTTGGTCCCCATAAGAAAGACTTAAAAAGAAAAGTCGAGTTCTAGTTGGCAGCTTGTACTCAACAATGTAATTTTATAATCTCCCACGTGGTTGAGGTCCCTATGTATCGAAGTAGATGGATAGGGTACTTTTTTATGTGTGCAATTGCCTTCATCAAATATTTTTTAACTGAAAAAATATATAAGTGCTCGTGATTCAATTATATAATTTTCCCCATTTCAAATTGAACTTACATATATCAACAAAAGGCAAGAGAGCACAGACCAACGGTATCTACTAATAATAATAATAATAATATATAGTTTGATGAATTGGGCGGGTCAATTTATTGCACTGTGATGGAAGTATGTGGAATAGAAGTGGAATGAAATTTTTCTTGTCCTGTCGTTTTCATTTCTTTTTGAATGAAGTTCATGGGAGGTGAAAGAGACCAGCAGCAGTATCAGTATGCATGAATGGAGCATCAATGTGCAAGTTGTGGTGATGACTTAATTTGAAGTACAGAGGTGGACCGTTTCGAGAAAAAACTTACGGTGAGATCTCATTTTTCGGCGTTTGGATCTTTTGAGAACGAAAAACATATGCTTATATTTGGAAATATGACTTTCTTTCTTTTCAAAGTTAAAAATCATTTTCTAAAATATGAACGGACCCAAGACCCCGGCGACCGTGCTCCGATCACTGGCTACCAGGCTCGAGTCCTCCGAGGGTGGGCCTGGGTTCCGGCGTCCAAACTTGGGATTTGGAGTTTTACTCAAAATTTTTTCTCAAATACGTGTTTTATAATTTTCTTGTAACAAGCATAGAAAATGCCATTAATATAGTTTACAAAATACATCCGATCATATAAAATTGAAATTATTTTCTCTTTTAAGATATTTTCCAGAAATTCCGATTTTTTCCCCTGTTAGCATGTTGAGCTTTGATGTTTCTTTAAATTTTATCCTATATAGAGTTGATATTGTGCGAAGCTCGAGCTCAACTCAACTAACATATACCACTCTCGAAACTCAACTCTAGCTCTCGTATCCACTGAAAATAATGCTCCAAGTCAATTCAAATAAAAAAATCAAGATATTCAAACTCGATTCAATTCGTTTTGATTACAATCAAGTTATGAAGGAACTCGAGCTCGTGCTCGAACATAAAAAGTTTTTATATTGTCCATGTACAGCTATATACATTGATGTATATATAACTATATTTGAATAAAGTAACGAAAACTTGTTTAGGGTCGTGAACTTATTCGTCTGAATATTGGCAAGCGCGAGCTAGACTCAACAGTATACACAAGTATCTTGAATTTGAGATCCGCTAGAAATCAATCGAGTTAGTTTTGAGTAACCATCGAGTTGAACCGAAGCAATTCGCACGATAGCTTGATCCGGTTTCGCCCCCTAATTTTTTATGTCCTTTTCTTAGATTAGGTTGCTATCCAAATAAATACCATTTACTAGTGTAACTATTTCAGTGTCAATGAAGGAAAACCTTTTTCAACTGCCTTCATATGATATTCAAACTATAGCTGTCTTTTCCAATTAAAGAAAGGAAGATGATAGAATATTTTATGTCGTTGTCTTCCAGTAGGTTGTACTTCAATTTTTGGTCATAGGTTGCACTTCAATTAAGTACCATTTAGTAATGTGGTTGTTCTAGTGTTCACGAAGAAAACCTTTTTCAACTGCCTTGATATAATAATGGAAGTTATAAATGTCTTTTCCAATTAAAGGAACATGATAGCTTT